GTCGACGGAATGGCCGCGACTCCAGCCCCAGAAAATCGCCCTCAGGCTCAGGCTCAGGCTCGAGCCCAGTCACAAGCACTTGCCCAACAACAGGCCGAAACCCAATCCCAAACCCATAAATCTGCTCAGCCCAAACGACCGCCATTTGAGCAGGAGCAGAGTCATACCCCCGTGAGCCAAAGCCAGAGCCAGAAAACCAGCCCGCCCAGCGCCCAGTCTGGAGCCTCCGCACAGGCGCCAGCTGCGCCTTCGACGCTGACACGGGACCTGTCAACCAACAGTTCATCAACACCACCGCACGCTTCCTCTCTCTCTACCACGCAGACGTCACAGGTCCAGGTCGCTCATTCAGCCGCCACTACGCCCGCCGCCGGCCCTCAGACACCGCGACTCGACACAAAGGACAAGAGCGTTTACTCCAAAAGCGGATTCGACATGCTGAAGGCATTGTGGTACGTCGCGACTCGCAAGAACCCGGAAATTCACCTAGGCGCCGTGGACATGTCTTGTGCCTTCGTCGTATGCGACATGTCTCTGAACGACTGTCCCATTATTTATGTGTCCGACAACTTTCAGAACTTGACCGGCTATAGCCGGCATGAAATTGTGGGACAAAACTGTCGTTTCCTCCAGGCTCCAGACGGTGCCGTCGAAGCTGGTTCGAAGCGCGAGTTTGTCGACGATGCTGCCGTGTACAATCTCAAGCAAAAGATTCACGAAGGCAAAGAGGTCCAACAAAGTCTCATCAACTATCGAAAAGGCGGCAAGCCGTTCCTGAATCTTCTGACCATGATACCCATTCCATGGGATGACCCTGATGAAATCAGGTTCTTTGTCGGCTTCCAGATTGATCTTGTCGAGTGTCCTGATGCTATTGCCTCCAGCCAAGATGCGCAGGGTGTCCAGGTCAATTATATGCACAGCGATATCGGGCAGTACATCTGGACACCGCCGAACGCAGGCCAGTGGGAGCCGGAAAATGGGCAGACATTGGGAGTAGATGACGTCTCGACCTTGTTGCAGCAGTTCAACCCCAAAGGCCTTGTTTCGGACTGGCACAAACAGTCCTGGGACAAGATGCTTCTGGAGAACGCAGATGACGTCGTTCATGTCCTTTCACTGAAGGGCCTCTTTCTTTACCTCTCACCCTCATGCAAGCGGGTCCTCGAGTACGACGCCGCTGAGTTGGCAGGAAACACATTATCCAGCATCTGCCACCCTTCCGACATCGTCCCCGTCACTCGAGAGCTGAAGGACACAACGCCCGGAAGCCCGGTCAACATTGTCTTCCGCATCCGGCGGAAGCACAGCGGTTATACGTGGTTCGAGAGTCACGGCTCGCTATTTGTCGAGCAGGGCAAGGGACGCAAGAGCATCATCCTTGTCGGCCGCAAAAGGCCAGTCTTTGCACTGAGTCGTCGCAACCTTGATGCCAACGGCGGTATCGGTGACAGTGAGCTGTGGACGAAGCTCTCCACATCAGGCATGTTTTTGTTCGTATCGTCAAATGTTCGGTCTCTCCTGGACCTGCAACCGAACGATCTCATTGGCACGAGCATTCAAGAGCTCATGCGGAAAGAGTCACGAGCCGAATTCGGCCGCACGATCGAAAAGGCACGACGTGGCAAAATTGTCACTTGTAAGCATGAAGTTCAGAATAGGAGGGGTCAGGTATTACAGGCACAGACGGTTCTGTATCCTGGCGACGCCTGCGAGGGTCAGAAACCCACCTTTCTACTCGCTCAAACCAAACTCATCAAGGCTTCGTCCAGAGCAATTGCACCTGCAGCAACACCACCCGGAAGTGTCAAGTCCACTGGTAAGAAAGGCCAACTGCAGACGTCATCGACTGGAGGCGCCGAGGCCCAAGCGGGCGGTATCGTGTCAGCGCCAGCAGGCGGGGCATTGGCTCTGGGGACCCAGGATGTCGCACTCGCAGCAGACGACAACATATTCGACGAACTGCGTACTACCAAGTGCTCGAGCTGGCAGTTCGAGCTGCGGCAGATGGAGAAGGTGAATCGGATTCTGGCCGAGGAGCTTGGCGGCCTTCTCTCCAATAAGAAGAAGAGAAAGAGAAGAAAGGGTGTGGGCAACGTGGTCCGAGACTGCGCCAACTGCCACACACGGAACACCCCTGAATGGAGGCGAGGACCCAGCGGTCAGCGTGATCTATGCAACAGTTGCGGCCTGCGATGGGCTAAACAGGTAAGAACATGCGACCCCCTTTCCTTCCAAACGAGTAGTGCCTAACCCACCACTCATCTACAGACCGGACGAGTTTCACCCCGCAATTCGTCTCGCGGCGGGAACAGCGGTGATGCGGCAAGTAAACGATCCAATTCGCCCCATCAGTCTTCACCCCTCCATCGTGAGCTTGGTGCCGATGGAGTGGTCCATGCCGAAGATACTTCGGCGGGTAGCGGCGCGCTGAACCCAGCCAAGGTGCATGCAACAATGCCCCCGCCCAGTCAACCATTGCTTGAAGGGGGTAGCGGCGCAGGCATCACATCGATCCGCGAAGAACGAGAGATTTATAACACCAACTAGACGACCATCGACCCCCTAGACAGTCCCGAAGGACACTGTGCATGAACCCGAGATACCACTTTCTGTTTCTACTTCTTCCATCTTGAGACTCTTCTCTTCTTTTCATCTTGTTTCTTCGCTCATTTCCTCAGAGGGGCCGAACACTCGGGTTGCCGGCATTCTGGCGATGATGGACATAGCTTGCTTCTGTTTGAAGGCGGTATGGTGGTGTCTCTCAATCCGTATATAGTACAATTGGTGATGCGGAGGACGACATGGGGCGTTCGGCAAACTACTGTTGGGAAAGTCATGAGCCATTCCTTTTCCTTGCAAGTTGTGGTGGGGTCGATGGATATTTCCGCCCCTCCACTATGGTACGAATGGGATAGAAAAGCAGCACGGCAGCATCGGAGGGGCAAGCGAACTTTGTTTTGGAGTCTTGTACTGGGTGCAGCAGTGGGGCTGAACGTTGAGTTCGTATTACGAGATACACGATTTTCAATCCCATTATGACTTTGATCATCGCACTGCTGGTGTGTCAGGAATGACTGCGTGGCATCCTTGAAGAAAGTTATACATTGTGCTTCCTTCAGCGGTGCTATCTACCCATCATCCCTTGGCAAACGCAGTGCTACGATGAAATTGATCACACTCTGAGGAGATATTCTGGCCCGCCTTGCAGGCAAGGAAGGTCCCGCGAGCTCTCTTTGCCTAGGCAGCATGGGGACCAAGAAGAGGCCTTTCAGACTGATCGCCTTGGAAGGGGTAGTACTGATTTGCTGCGCAAACACCAAGTCCAGGGGAGAAAGGGAGGGGGGTGGAGGAGAGATTGGTTATGGGGTATCATCCACTGAGAAACAAGAGATGCGCAGTTTTCACTCTTTCCTGGTGCCTCGACGATCACAGCATCATGGCATTGATCAGACTTTGTGGTCTCTGCTGTAGTCGATTTCTCGGTTCCCGTCCCGGTGCTTGCCACGAGCCGGATGGCGGGCCGCTTCACCATCGCCGAGCTTGGAGTTTGTCATGGTCATCTAGCTTGCTTTCGCCTCGTTCTCCGTGAAACCGTGCCGTCTCTGGGCAACTCTGACCAAACCCTGACGCCGTGCCGGACCCAATCTCATCCTGAGAACCGTCGAGTTTGTGCTCGACTCCTCCATCCAACGCCGTGGTACACGCCAGAAAGATAAAACAAACCATTGAGCCGAAAAGGGGGGCGGGAGCGGGATCCACAATCCTATCATGCACAGTCCCCCTCTCCCATGTTTCTGACCAAACCGTCTAAACCAAACGTGCGGGCCTTGGCCTGAGCAAACATTGCTGCTCTGGCGCGCTCGAGCACGTGCTAGCCATGCTCTGCATAGAAGCCGAATCGTGCTGTGCGCCGGTGCGCTTCAAGGCGTAAGACAATGTGCGGCAAGAAACAAGACGACGCGGGCGCAGCGCAAAGCTTTGCGTCGTTGCAAGGACATGAAGGACCAATTGCGTGTTTCGCGTACAACATGTCGCTTCTCCCTGCAAGTGATGTCTGGTTTTGTTCGGCCTCGTCATGGTCTCGTGTCCTGCGGTCTTGTCTGCGTCGCGCATTCTTCTTCGTCATTCGTGAAACAAAACGCCGTGTCGTGTGCATGCAGGTGCCCGGATAGCAGAAAGGAAAGGGGCGTTGTCGAGGACATACTGCACGCCAAAAGGAAAGAAAGTCGAAAGAAACAGTCTGCCAACGGTCCTTGGCGCATGCAGTTTAGTGCTCGAAACGCAAGCCCGGCATCGTTGCCAAGCGCTAACTGGTGAACTTTGATGAAAAAAAGAAAAGAAGAGCGGCCTAGTCGAAAGAAACGAGCACGGCCGGTCAATGTGATGTGTTGTGAGTTGTGGGTGATTCCTCAACCTATCTCGCCCAGGCAGGCGAGAAGAGGGACCTGCAAGACCTATCCAGGCAGTAGACGAGGAACATGCTACCCATACTATTATGCATGGGGTCGTCCAGGCGGTTCTGCTGTAGTATAGGAACAATGACCGAGGGGCAGCGCCTCTGGTCGCAGATGGCTGGAGCGCATCTGGTGGCGGTGACTCGACACAATTCAGATCAGGCAGGACTTTCGTCCATGCTGAACTCCCAGTGCTGAGCCCCTTAGGTCATTGTTCTTTGACTGATCAAAGAGCTTGTCAAGTTTGGCCCAATTGCCATGGCTGATGCCAATACAGCCGTGGAGAAAGCTAGCCGCCGTAGCATCTCCTCGCTTGACGGCCATGTCATGCTGGAGCTGATACTGCTGGTACATGCCGTAATACCGGTTGACCATGCGTCTCAGCTTGGCTGTAGGCAGTCTGTCAAGGTTTTCACCAAGACTGGCGGCGATGTCGGCCTCCTGCGGAAGTTCGCCGTAGACCGGGTGGCACGCGTTCTGAGCGTGGGCCGCACGAACGCCAGGGTAAGCCTGTGCTGACCGAGGTACTTGTTGAGCAGTCTGCTACGACTCGTCAACAAGAGCCTCGGCAAACTTATCGAGAAAGTGCAGCGAGAAGCGGTGACCCCACTGGGCCTGAAAGTGGCGGTCACGGAACGTGGCGGACGTGTTCTTCTTGAACGCGTACAGCTCGACGACCCAACCCGACTTGAGGGCTTGCTCAACCTTGGCGAAGAAGCCTTTGGAGAATTGGGCCTCGTTGCCGTCACCTGTGGCGAGCACAACGACGCCGGGCGTGCCAGCGATGACGCCATCAATGATATCGTCGGAGATTTTCATCTGCAAGATTTCATCGACGCCCTGTTCCTGCATCTTGCGCGGGCTCGTCTCGAGGGGAAGGCCGTAGCCGGGTCGAGCCTGCGCCTGCTCGTTGGGACGGTAGACACGCTCAAGAATGTTCGCGTCATAGCCGTGCTCAACAAAGGCGTCCAGGGTCTTGAGCTCCTTCTGACCGGGCTTGGCGGAGCGGCTGCCAGCGAGGACGCGGCTCTTGATGCCGCGGTCGCGCTCAAGTATGAGCTTGATGCGGGCGAAATCGAGGACATCGGCTCGGCGTGAAGTGGGAGGAAGGCCGTAGCCACGCTTGAGCTCCTCCTGGCAGCCAATCATAATGTTGGACCAGTCAATGTAGACGTAAATACCGTTGGCGTACTCAGCAGGGAAGTCGGCCATGCTGTCCTCGTCATGAGACTTGAAGTCCGCCAGTACGACGCGCCGCAAGCCGTCGAACGTCGTCTTTGCCTTCTCGGGTGACGCATCGACAGGGCCGTTCATCCGCAGAGCAAAGGCAGCGGCGCGCGCCTCGACGGAGGATTGGCACATGTTTGAGAGAGCGAAGCTCTGGTGACAAACGTGGGATCCATGGTGCGTAAACTTTGCGGCCACAACGGAACTAGGCATGCCCAACGTGGGCGAGGCCGGAATCTCAGGCTCAGGGGAGCTCGAGGGGTTCAGTTCGGGGGAGAAGACATAAGGATTTTCGCCGTCATTGCTGACTGACGTCTCGATCTCGACGGGTTCTTCGCTGTGCTCGCCGTCAACCATGGATAGGGCATGATGGGCCAGCGTCTGATTTTCAGATGCATCTGTCGATACGAGAAGGTTGGCAAGGCGGTCTCCGAGGGCAGGCTGATCGGGGAGCAAATTGTTGTGGTCGGGACCTGAATCCAAGTCGGTTGTAAGGTCTTTGTGCACGCCAATGTAAGCCCAGACCTTCTTGAAGTCGCCGAGGCGGTTAGGGTCATGATTCTTGTACAGCCTGCGGCGACCGGGACTCAGAGGGCGTTTACGCTGGCCGGCGACCATGCGCGCAGCGGGCGTTGCAGCAGGCAGCATCGAAGGTTTTTTTGCTGCCAGTCTTGATAGGGTGTGATCAAGGGAAGGTGGGGATGATAAGAGGAGCGTTGCAACTGGCAGGAGCCATATGAAGAACGGCAACCGGCTTTTCGAGACACGGAAATGCCTTCCGTGTGAGTAAACGATGGCTCTTGGCTCTAAGGAAATGTGTAAGCTGGGTGCACCGCCACATGATTCCGAGTGGATGAAAACCAGAGGAAAGACCAGGCAGGTTAGGATGGCGAGCTAGGTAGCCGAGTTGTGTTCAATGTCCGATCAGGGCAAGTGGAGATGGACAGAGTCTAAACGCCGTAACGTTTACACAATCTTCGCAACCTGGCTGGCCATATCAACCTTATAGAGGCCAGGGGACATGAGAGCATAAGAGAGTGCAGCCCCTGTCATTGGGGATCGGGGCAGAGAGAGGGGTAGGCATACCAGAGTAGAGGATTGCGTCGGCAACGAGAGTCGCGGTTTTGCGGCAAGGGGTGAGTGTTTACGACGACGGTAGGCAACAGTGTGAAGTCGTGCGTCAGGAAAGGGTTGGGTAGTGGTAGTAAGGGAAGAGGATCCAGGCAGTTTCCCCAGTCGACTGAAGCAGGCAAAGTAGATGGTTGCCTCGTATGACTAAATAGAGTACACAAGAAGGGAAAGAGCGCGCTGTTGCCGAATCCAGCAGAGACAAGGCTTTCTGAGCTACAAAAGTTGGCTGTCACAACAGTGCTATATATGGGGTGTTGAGCGGCTTGCTTCTCACAAACGTTGCAGGGTGCGGTGGCAGGGAGGTAGGCAGATGATGAGGGAGAGAGAGGTTTGGTGGCAAAACAAAGAGGTACGTACACTAGGCGGCACAATACTATGCAGCACAGAACTCGACTAGAGCAGAGAGTGAAGCCTTGGACAGACAGTGTTTGCAGCAAATCAAGAAAGGCTCTGGTTGCAATGGCGCAGTGAAGGGGGAAATGCGTACAGACGAGAACAAGAATGAGAAGACCAAAGTGAAGGATGAGTGCAGGTTGAAGAGTGGCCGAGGCGCAGGAGGTGAGGACCTTGCTTGACATGAGAAGGGTCATCGGCGTGAGATCTGGGGGGCGACTCGGGTGGCCCGTGTCCAAGTCGTGAGGTCAGGGACCAGAGGAGTCACAGAAGACCGAGCTGACCCACTTGGATGGACCCCGGCCATTGGCCTAGCCTGATACATGCTGCTGCTGCCTTTGTGCTTCCATTCCTCTGCCACCCTTTCTGTCGGAGGACGGAGCGCGTCAAATCGCCTGCGAGCCGGCGCATCAGATCTTGGAGCTCCTAGCCTGGTGCATGGCTCCATAGCCTCTGCCTGAGAGGCGTCAGCCCGAATGGCTCTCCTCCAATGCCTCTACTGTACCTCGCCTTGCCGTGGGCGCCTGACCCTGGGACCATGATGCCTGCATATCATTCCCTCCAATCCACATATCTACATCTTCACTGCAGACCAGACATCTTCAGACCTGCCGTGGACGTCACGATCGGAAAGAGAAGACAAGGTGCAGTCGAATCACATCAGCAGAACAAAAGAAGCGCAAACGGGCAGATGCTCTGGGTGATTTGATCGCGATATTGTACAAAAACTCGAACCATTCGGTTCGACGCAAACTGTGTGCCCTTTCCCCCAAGATGCCCCAGGTTCGTCCACATGAACGAAACCTCGCAGGTTCGAGAAGAACCTCGCAGGTTCGAGAAGAACCTCTTCCTGAGGGGCAATCTCATGGCACCTCATGTACCAAACGCCTGGAGCCAAAGCCTGAGACCCAAGCAAGAAAGAAAATCAAATCCAGAGGCAACGTGAACCTCCTGCCACTGCCCTCAACGCCGAAAGCTGGAAACTTGATACATCGAAAGGCTGTGCCTTTCTCCAATGTTCATGCAATTGCGAAAATCACTCCCCTGCCCGTTGCCGTTTTGATCCGTAAAAAAGAAAAAGCAACCTCAAATGCTGCGATCCTCAGCGGCGGCCTTGCGCTTAGCCTCGTCTTCGGCGATGCGTTTCTGGCGCGCAGCCTCCTTCTCCTCCATATAACGCTTTCGGTAGTTCGGACCCATATGAAATTCCTCATTAAGGATTCTGTAGCCCTCATGCGCCGCATTGAGCCAATCTTCGCACGTTTGAAGGTTGATCTGGAACAGGAGCTGCTGTCTCTCGGCCTCCTTGCGGTCGCGCACTTGACGCCACTTCGCACTGGCGAGATCCTCAATCTCCCGCTGCATGGGGGTCATGGCAGCGCGTTCTCTTTCATTGCGCTCTTTGCGCTGACGCTTCTTTTCTTCCTCGGCAGCGAGCTTGTCGTCCCGTTCTTTGCGTTTGCGGGCGCGCTCAGCAAGGAACTCCTCATTATCTGCAAGGAAACGCGCGCTGTGACCAAGGCCAGCACTTTCGGGAGCCAGGCCGGGAGTCTCGGTGATGACGGGCGGAGTCGTGTACCAGAGCAACTTTCCATTGTCGTTGTTGTACATGAGGCGGATCTCCTCGGGGATCTCGTTGTTGAGCTCATCCGGGAGGGTGAAAACTTCCGTGGGGGGGGCGGCATTGTGCGAATTCTGCTGCTGCTGAGGTGGCAGGTGCTGTTGCTGCGCAGGGACGTAGGGCTGCATCTGGATACCAGCAGTGGGGGCCATGGTGTTTCGGTTGGTGCCCATGGACATGCGGTGGTCAGCGAAGCCTGAATTGGCCATGTGCGATGGCTGCATCTGAGGAATCTGAGCATGAGACTGGGGCTGCACATTTAGCTGTCCCTGTTGAATGTGGGTCGCGGGCGAGTGTGGGTACGCAGGTGGATGCTGGCCTTGGCGTTGATTGTACTGCGGGCCCTGGAAGTTACCCTGAAAGCCATTCTGGTACTGGTCGGTTGCCATGTTGGATCCTTGTGGGCGATGCATCGGAGCTTGCGGCATGTTATGCTGCTGCTGCGAGAACATCTGGCCAGCGTTCTGACCAGGTGGCTGCTGTGGCTGCCGGTAGTTGAGGTAGGGGCTCTGACCAGGCTGCTGCGGCTGCGGCTGCTGGCCCTGAGGGTAGTGCGGAGCAGGCTGATGAGGACTCTGATGATGAGCAACCGGAGACGCAGAAGTGTACTGATGCTGCTGAGGCTGCGGCTGCGGCTGCGGCTGCTGCTGTCCGTGGTACTGGGGAACCAGAGGCGCCGGAGATGGCGAGGCGCCAGGAGGGGCCATGTGGAAGGGCGACGCTGGTGGCTGGGAACCGCGGAACGAGGAAGTTCTCCGTCCTGTGTTGGAAAGAATTGGCTGAGCAGGCTGAGCCGGAGGTGTAGGCTGCGGTGGAGGTGATTCCTGTCAGAGTTTCAGCAGAGTGCTCCCAAGGCAGAATTTCAGGCTGTGAAAGTGAAGTACAGTCGCCTCCCGTGTGTGTGACGTGAAGGTTGTGCAAGTTGTGTAAGATGGGGAGAACACCACCGACTCAAAAATAAGCAGAGAAGCAGGTGTAGAAGAAAAGTAGAAAAGAAGGATTGTGGGAAGAAGCAGGAATTAAATAGAAATGAAAACGATGCCGTTGCCTGGATCTGGTATCCGTAGTGTCGGCTGTCGTCGACTGTCCATCGCCAGGATGACCTCAAATGCCGACTGGCAAGGAGAGAGGCGGAGCGGCGTGCGACTAGGCTACGGACTGGCCCGGAATCAAGAGGAGAACAACAGAAGAACTCAGGTAAACGGGAAGCTGCTGGCAAAAAAGAAAACTCTGCTCGACGCAAACGCTACCATATCCAACAAAAACACGACCCAAGGGTAGCTTCTATCACATCCTGAACAACACGGTGAGGGAAAGAAATTACTTACGTTGGACTCTCTAGGACGACGATGAACAGCACCAATAACAGGCGGCATGTTCTTGTAGCCCCAAGTCGGCTTCGGCAGCGGATCGGTCGGCTTCGCATTCTGCCTGATGAGGTGCTTGATAGGGCTGGGGAACTTCTTCATTCGTAGGGGATGAGGGAACGGATCAGAGACGTAGTCCTTCTCCCGGACTTCGTCTGGCACACAGCTCGACCATGTCTTGATCCGGGCAAATCGGCACTTCTCCTCGTTGTACCTCGACTCGCAGACATACACGCTCTTACCGGCAGGCAGCCCGCGGGGACGTCCCTTGAAGAAACGCGTCACGAACATGACAAAGCACCGATCAATGACCTCCTCGATAGCATGGTCGCGGTACTGCGTCGACTTGGCGACCTCGTGCTCATAGAAGTGCTTGTCCTCGTGGTGCACGGTCTGCTCGGGGCGATAGTACCAGCAGGCGTTGATCCAGCGCTGGCCCTTGGGGTCTTGCCAGAGCCGGAAGATCTGAGCAACGATGGGCTTGGTCACGTCATTTGTGTTGTTGATGTGAACCCAGTCGCCTGCACAGCCATTAGGTTTCCCCTCTTCTTCTTCATGCCTTGGATCAGACTGGTCACTTACCAACTCTCCAGGTCTCACCGTTGTGCTGTACTTCGGCCAACGGCAACCTGCCGTCGTCAGCTCGGCAAAGACTATCAGGTTTGGCTTTCTCCTGCTGTGCCAGCGAGCGCGCTTCCCTCTGGAGGTCAATGGCGGTCTGGTGAATATCACTGTCGTCTTCGTTGAAGAGCTTGGCATTCTCAAACATGAGGTCCAGGTCCTGGATAAGGTCGTCAACAGTGGCATATTTCTTGCGCTTGAACTTCTGGCGGATCATGTCGAGAGCAATGGGCTTCTGAATGGCGTCATAGTACTCGGGCAGTTCCTGCTTGTCAGGTAGCTTCTCAAAGGGTAGGATGCGCAGCTCGCCGGACTCGTCCTTGAATTTGCGCAATCCCTTGAGGACGGAATCTATCCGGACCTCAGCAGGTGTGAGCACCTTGGGCGGGCGGCCTCTCTTCTTGTGGTCTTCTTCCTCCCGGCTTGCGTCTGGGCGGCGTCCAATCTTCCGAGTCTTGCGACCACGACCAGTTTCGTCATCGTCGGAGTCGTCATCATCCTCTTCCTCTTCTTCTTCCTCTTCATCCTCTTCGTCCTCTTCGCCAGCGTTCTCGGAGGCTTCCTCTGCAGGAGGCAACTCGCCCAGGAAAGGGAACTCAACCTCGGCAGCGGTCAAGACGCCGGCTGTCACGAGCTTTTGCAGCTTCTCCTTGGCAACCTCGCGCAATCTGACAGCAGCATGAAAGATTGGGGCGCTCGGAAGGTTATAAACCTGCGCGTTGTGGCAGATGAGAGCCAGGTCTCGCACGAATTCGTTGGCGCTGGTGTACTCCTTCTTCTGGACCTTTTTCTATATGATGGGTTAGCAATTGGGGATCGCAACTCGAAGGTATGAAACGGGGTTTGTTTCCTCATACCCTGATGCTGCTGAATGCCGTGGGCTCTTCAATGATCTGGAAATAGTCGGGCAGCGATCGCTTGTTAGGGATGCGCTGGAAGGGCGCGGCAAGTTCCTCTCCGCTGGAAGGGGCCATTCAGTCAGCACGCGTACGTCTACCTTCAATGTTATCAGGCTCGAGAGAGAAAACTTACTCTTCCTCATATCTGCTCAGCTCGGACTCAAGCGTGCCGAGGACAGACAGCAGGTCTCCAGGCTCATCAACATCTTGCTGGGAAGTATCATCTTCGCCGTCAGCGTCGGCCTCAGCATCAGCTTCCCCGTCGGCGTCTTCTTCGTCGTGCTGATCCTTCATCTCGACGTCGTCTGCAGCATTTTCAGGGGTATCGAGGTCCATGTCGTGGCCGTTGGTCTTGTCCTTGTCCTTGTCAAGCTTGGCCTCGATGGAATCGCGCACGTCGGTTGCGTTGCTGCGCGTGCCCGCCATGGCGTCGGGAGGCAAAAAGGATGTGGCCACCGAGGCAGTTGAAACTAACGGAAGCTCACCAGCAGATAAACGTGAGCTATAACGTGGTCGCGACGTGGGGGAAGGCGGCGCTGTGGACGATGTCGCAACGGTGCGAGAATCGAGGGTTGGGGTTCTGGTGGAAGGTGGGCAGGACCGTGACAGAGACCAAGCGCGACGAGGATGCGACTGGGCCAGCCACTTTCGCGCCGACGCCACAGTACCACAACACTAATAAGCCACAGGTACCTGAAGCAGCCACAGCGAGGTTGGTCGAAATCAGTTGTTTCCCGTTGAGAACATGAACCCCTTGGTCATGGAATGACGACAGTCGGTGCACTCGAGGTGTTGATATTTATTCCTATTTCACAGTCTCGGGGTCTCACAATCGGTGCATGTGGTGAGAGCTCATCTTCTCGCCACGTTGTGCGACAAGCCAAGCCTCTGCCTTCAGCAAGCCTCCACAATACGCCCTCCATGGCTATCTCTTGGCATTCAGATGCTTCTACGACAAAACGGCACTCTAGTCCAATGGAGTCTGCTTTCTGAGAAATCTGAAAGCAATGTACTTTGGACACCTAAATATCTAGGAGGCAGCACACACGTGTCAACAAGAACTCGTCCAGCCAACAGCAACCCTTCGACCCAGGTTGCAGCGTGAGCGAGCTTTAGGACAATGGCCAAGGATCATGGAACCCCGGATTTGATCGGCGGCGACTAGCAATTCAGGGATCCACTTGATGGATGTTCAGCAGATGCAGCAGCATCCAAGCTTCGAGCTCCAAAACTGAGGGGCTGTTGGCGGCATCCCACTCCGAAGCTCAGGCTGTAGTCCTGAAAATGCCCGATCCACTGCCAAGCAGACTATCCGTGGCAGCGAAGGCAACCTTAGAGCCCTCGAATGACAGATAAGACGACCATAGAACTCACTCATCGTGGGCTAAGAAAAATATATTCGTTTCTAAGTAGTGACCGTCGAACAAGCCTGCTCCAACCAGTAATCAAAACACCAACTGGTACTAGAAGCTTCGACCACCAGCTCACATCATTGCTTCCATTACCCCCCTTCCGATCCACCGCCACCCTGCGGCCCTTTACCACTACCACAATACAACTCAAAGAACGTGGTTCTACGCATGACTGCCGTTCACCCACTCACTCCACCGATTGTTATTATAACTGCAAGCCAAACCAGCCATGAGAGCCAGGTACAAAGGTCCCAGTGGCACTGGCGTCCTCTCCCTCGGTGATGACACAACCATCGGCCAGCTGTACGAGGAGGTCAGGGCCAAGACAGGTATTCCCGAGTTCACTCTCAAATACGGTTGGCCCCTGAAGGCCCTCGAAAGCGACCAAATGGATAAAGCTGCCAAAGAACTCGGTCTGAACGGCGAAACTTTTACGATTGTGCCCACCGAAGCAACCCAGCCACCAGCAGCACCAGCAGCGATCGTGGCGCCATCGTCCTCACGCCCCGTCATTCCTGTCTCAGACGTCTCGCAACCACCGACACAGGGTCCTGAGAGTGTCAGTGTGGCATGGGCTGAGAGGGAGGGCACCCTACGTATGGTTATCCCCGATCTCCGCCGTGGCTGCTGCACTCAATCCTCACGTCTGTACTGACACTGCTCACACCAGTCCTCCGGGTCATGCCTGACGACAATAGCTGTCTATTCACAGCTTTTGGGGGTGCCCTGCCCCGGCAGATCCCCGCCCCCGAGCTTCGCAAGATGGTCGCAGATCACATCCTGGCTCACCCGGACACGTACTCGGAGGCGATCCTCGCAACGCCCCCCTCCGCCTACGCGCGTGCCATCCAAGGGCGCGATCGCTGGGGTGGCGCCATTGAGCTAGGAATCTTCTCCGAGCTATTCGATGTTGAGATTTGTACATTTGACGTCAAAGGGCAGACCTTGTTGCGCTTCGGCGAAAATAAGGACACCCGATGTCTCCTCGTCTACTCGGGCATTCACTACGACCGCGTCGCATTCAGCCCTTCAGAGCCTCCATACCAGGAGTCTATGCTTCCTCCGGAGCTCGATCGTACGGTCTGGCCCACAGACGACGCTGCTGTCCTCGAAAAGACCCAGCAGCTCGTGGCGCAGCTGCATGAGATGCATTACTACACCGACCCCGCGGAAATCCTACTCACCTGCGACGTCCCCGGCTGTCAGTGGATTGGCAGCGGCGAACGCGCCGGGAAAGAGCACGCTGAACGTACGGGCCACGTGGCACTTTCCGAGATCAAAGACAATGCTCTTCTGACATGTCAAACGCCCGGCTGCGGATGGCTAGGGAGTGGCGAGGCGTCGGCGAAGAAACACACGAGCGACACGGGTCACGCCTCGCTCGCTGTCATTCCCGATGATTGAGCTTGTGCGGTGCAGGGTTGATCCCATGGCGTAATACACAAGTCCAGATTCAGCAAGTCTGTCCGGAGCGAAAACGATCTGATTTGATCTTCAAGCTTCCTGTACTCAGTGTGCAACGATGGCCGTTGTCGTTGTTGTCAGAACTGCGATTATATATGATAACTGCGAGATGTGACTGTGTTCGCTCCCGAGTCTGCCATCCTTGATACTGTGTCTCCAATGCAAAGACGCATCTTGACTCGAGCGGTCCCAAATTGCTTCCTTCTCCTTAGATTCATTCTGTGCGTGATTTCTACCACTTCCATCAATGTGGCTTGGGTTCTGTCAAATCACCACCCGCATTCTCGCTCTCGCCATTTGGTAACACACGAAACATATAGCCTGGGAAATGCGCCGCTGTACATGGTAGATAGCAGTAAATTCAAGCTTGTCTGTATCATACAATTTCCGCCTTGGATTCGATTCACGGCCCGGGTCCGTACGCAGAAGGCACACCGCTTACTGCTTATAAGTCAGACCACCACCAAAACTGTGTTCGCTATTCTTGCCGCCAGCCTCGACCTTGCCCTGGGTCTCGCCGCCGGAGAAAGCGCACTGCCCGAGGTCCCTCTTCTCCACGGCCCCGAGAGCCGGCGATATGTCAAACTCGAATATGTCCATCGGCAGCCCGATCGTCGTGCAGGCGTTTGGAATGTCGACAATGCCAGCGACGTGTCCCTGGATGGGCGCGCACGACATGAGAAGGTACGCCTGGTAATCGCTGTAACCGAACCGGCGAAGGTACTCGATGCAACCTATCCTGTCAGTACTTTTGGTTCAACATGGGCAAGAAGCGAAGACACTAACGCAGGCTCGTCTGCCGGTAGGCGACAGTGACGTCCATGTAATGCTGCTTCCCATGCTCGTCGACAGAGAAGCCCTCGAAGTAAATGTGTCGTCCTGGGCCGAACTGCGGCTCGACAGGTCCAGGGATGTAAATGGGCGACTTGAGGCCCAGTGTTGCCATGCCGTCGCGGATGACCTTGAAGTTGATCGTGATGACGCCAGCCATCTCGATGGCACCGCAAAAGGAGATTTCTCCGTCACCCTCTAAACCACACTGTCAGATGGGCACATCGATAGAAATGAGGGGAGCGACACTCAACATACGCGAGAAGTGGAGGTCTCCCACGCTGAACTTTGCTCCGTCAACGTGAACGGGGAGGTAAACCTTGCTTCCTCGGCTGAGGTTTTTGATACTGCGGTCTGTCAGTTGGATTCTACCTGTGCAGGAACGGAAGAACATACTCGCAGTTGCCTCCATGCTCAGGCCGTCCCGGCACCGTCCTCGCTCCCTCTTCACCGACCTTCTTGCTCGTCGCCTCGTCCGCACTTCCGGCGTGCGCACTCTGCGGCTCCGGCGGCAATGCGACTTTGCGCTCGAGCTTGTTAGCTGCGATGAGCTCACCCTCGCGCTTGTTCCACGTCGACAGCACCTCCGCCGAAGGGGCGCAGCCTAGGATACCGGGGTGGATGAGGCCCGCAAACTTGACCCCGGGAATGTGCCGAGAAGTGCAGTATATGCCTTCGAAGTCCCAGATGGCCTTTGCGCTGCTCCGTGTCAGTAGAACCGCTCTGAGCCAGCAGATCAGGCGAGGACCCACGCGGATGGATAGATCTCGTCGAGGAAACCGCCACCGTTGTTTCGATCAAAGACGCCAGTAAAGCCCCATGGCTGATCTTGGAAGGGCTGGACATCCATAATCTCCACAAGGAGAAGATCGCCTGGCTTGGCACCTTCAACATCAAAGGGACCTGAGAGGTAATGAACCTTCGTCAAGTCTACGTTGAGAACATCGTCGGCGGAGTCGTTGTTCCCAATCTGGCCTCCAGTCCTGAGACAATCAGCGTACGCGATGAATAAGTGACCTAGTGTACATACCAGTCCACGCATTCAATCTTGACCGTCTCGCCATCCTTGATGGCGCCAGCAGAGGGAACTGGATCATTAGTCAACCTCGAAACTACCTAGGCAAAGGTGCTGGGGTATACACACTGTCGGGATGCCATCTATTCTGAGTCAGAAGTTAATGTGTAGCCGGTGAAATGGGCCGCAGATGACTTACATGGAGGGCAGGCTGTTCAGCAGCAGGCGTGTCAAAGCTCACCTTATTCACAGTCCGAATGCCTGTCTTGCCCATGGTATTCACAAGTCTAAAGGCGAACGACTAAGTGGCGATAATGTGTCGAGTCTTGTGTACCATATAATTCGATGTGAATTACTGGCCCGAGGAAGCCCAAGAAGTCATGTAACCATCACGCTGGCTTTCCCTGGTATAAGTAGGCGTCCATAATTACCCCGCCCTTGGCAAGCTATGGATTCCCATCATATTGTAAGTCATCGATTAAAGCCAGTCAGCCAATGTACACTAGGTCTACGGATTTCCGGGGGTTGCACGGAGCTGTCCTAGAGCTCCTGAGCTGTAGTGGGCATAGCATGGAAGCTTATCAGAAGCTCCCATTCACCCCGCACGATCTCGCCGCCGGCGACACCCCAACCCCTGTCGGTGATTCGTCGCGGTGACTTCACTCTGCATGAGCGAACGCTCCCCCTATCAGCTGCGAAACGTAATTGGAATCAACATGAGCGCCACCTGACGTTCGCTTCTAGTCATGGTGGTTATGAAGAAGCCGACCTTCCGTGCTTCTCTCCAAATCCACTAGAAGCCCTTTGTATGTACAGTATTCCAAAAATGAACTTTTCAGCCGCCTCTCCATGACACTGCTCCAGCTTCGGACCCGGCAGTCGGATCTTCTCCGATGAAAAAGAGGGACACTCAATGGCTGGCTTTCTCTACAGAGGGGATTGGTATGTCACTCTGGGCCTGCCCACTGTTTTGCTTGGACCTGTGGTGCATGGAATCCAGGTTGGACAACTCCAAGCTCAGGAACTCGTGCTTATTCGTCCAAGTCTGCTGACTGGCTGCAAAGCCAGCAGACTCGCTGTACGGCGGGGGAGGGTCGGTGACCTTGGTGACGAGGTAGGCCGCCGAGGCCTCGGCAATGCCGTAGACGAGAACTCCGACAAGAGGTATCCTGATGAGCGTATAAAATCCCAACGCAAACCCGAAGAGCAAGCCCTCGCGGTCGTGAAACCACTTGCGTTTCTGGTCCTTGGTGAAGTGCACTCGTGAGAAGTACGGCTCAAGCAGCTCGCGCATCAGGGTTCGCGACGAAAAGTAGCTCTGCAGGAAAATCACGAGATAGCGTCTCGGTAGGAAGATGCCGGTCCCGAAGATGATGGATGCCGGTCCCATGCCGACTGCCTTGTTGAACGTGTAGAAACTGGCGGCTGGCAGGACAAAGCGACCAACATAAGGCACATATGATAAGGCGAAGATGGCCAGAGAGATGCCGGCTTTGCGAGCGAATCGCATGAAGAACATCGATAACGCTTCGGCCGTACTCGTGGTGTGGGTGCTGCCGTCCTTGACCTTGTAGCCTTTGAGGTTTGGGTAATACATGTTGCGTAGGTTGTCGGGGTTCTCGTGCTTGTGTTTCTGAACGTACGTCAGATCGACCCACTGGAGCGAATCCATGAATCTGTCCAGTTAGCATCGAATCACTAGGAAGCCGCACTTCGACCTACAGGTTATCGAGGGTCGGCGTGACGTAGCGCATGAGGGTCATGAGGAAGAACGGAACTTGGAGAACGTATTCTTCGAGAAAGTTCAGTCCTTCCACGATCTGATTGTCCCAGGTCACCTGTTCAAGGTTTATGGCGAAAGAAAGAAACCATAGCAGAACCCGAACACCGATAATCTGGAAGGCTTGTCGTCAGCTGGCACAGAAGGCTTTCTCGGACACGACGGCGCAGGCCTACGGGAATGGAAACGATGAGGCGGATGGCCAGGCCGGCAAAGACAGCAGCAGCAGCCTGTTTATAGTGATCGGAGGTAAATATACCGGGATTCTGAAGCGCTCGGTGGGCTGTTGCGCGAAGCGGGTTAGCAACCGGCGCCGACCAAGCGTGTGGTGATGGACGGTTTCATGGGCTCACCTCCAACAAAGGTCAACTGGGCACCCCTCAAGACGGAATTGAGGCCGAAATGGGAGACATCAAATTGCTGCTTGAGCTTCTCCTTATCGACGTGCAGCTTCTCTTTCAGTTGATCGGGCTCCATGATGGCGAATGTGGCTTCTATGGTAAAGAGCTAGGGTTGAGTGCATTTAGGGATCCCAAGATGCAACATCGAGTTGGAGAGTCCTGGCAGCCCACCACAGGCACAGAGCCAGACGATGACGACACCAGCACACGAGCAGCCTAGCCAGGCCAAATGTGGGAGCTGGGGCGCTTATCTCACAACGCTATCAATGGGGGCTACTCTTATCGGGGTTAGGTAGTGCGACATTCCCTGTAACGTGTCTGACCAGTGACCCTTTGCCCAGCGACCCTCTTCCGACATTCTTCGCATTAAATAAGGTGCCAGAGGACGAGGCTCGCACAATTGGCGTTGCTCACAACGAGGCCTGGGCAAGGTACCTAAAGTGGCCCGTCTGTAAGACGGAAAATCGCTCTTCGGACGCGGAAGACGTTGCTCAGGCAGACCATATCAAATCCTAAATCCTTGGGCAAGCCCATGGTCTGTACATATATGCGCATGCACACTTATGCATGTAGACAGAAGAAAGGCAGGCATTCGGGATGCTCCGCAAGAGCGCTCAACAGGGAGACACATCCCTGGCAGGCAGCGACCCGCACCCGTCTTCAACGGAAGCGCGAACCCCCCGTCGCGTGTCCAAGCTCCCTATTGCCCGAGGGTCCGACTCCCAGCCCCAAACTTGCTTCTCCCAGTGCCTCTTCCCCATTGGAAATCTTCTCATTTCACCATATCCATCAACCTCTCGTGGCGCGATTGGACGTTTCCCGTCTCTGTGCCCGTCAGTGAGACACGCCCGCTCAAAAAGAGTGGCAATTAATCGCCTCAGCGACAGCTAGGTGGTCACTGAATTCCTCAGCCTCACCCCTGGAACGCCATCGTCGAAACACTGAAAGGTGGGACGAACCAGACAAGAGGGGGGAGACTGCGAACTACGACTGCGCCAGAAAGTGTCACATCCTTCTAGCCCATGACACCGCAGCTTTGCCATGTCTGCAAGCACACGACCGACATGATCAAATTCACGACCGGATTTTGACAACAGCATCAGTACGCCCCTCCCTTGGCGAATCGCTCCCGTTGATGACCGACATTGCCATGGACCGTTCGCGATCAACCTTTTCGGCCCCCCGACGGGTTATGACAGCACCCCAAGGCTCTGTCTGCAGCCCTTCTTCATCGTCTCAATCGGCCCCAGGTCTTGTCGAAACCCTTTACAACCATCCAAATGTCAAGATCATCGCCTTTACAGCCTCGGGGCGAAGCAGGGCGAGGAGTCCCGGCCGTGCGCCACCCGACGAGGAGCCCGGCTCGTTGTCATCGTCATCGCAGCTTGAGCGTACTATTGCAGTCGGTCAGTCGGGTCGGACTTTGGGATCAATTGTTCAATATACTGATTGTTTTTCAGGCCCATTTCGGATCTACCGAGCACCCGGCTCCGTGGCATTTCTGAATTGCGGTTCAGCGCTGCAACCGATTCTACCGAAGAGCCAATGTTGGTGCATCGACGAAGTGTCCAACAAGTTCGTTCTTCAAATCCGTCGACCGCAATACTGGAGGATAGAGGTTCCGGTGTCGGACCCTGAAGAGAAGGAGTTGGCCCACGCGTTGCGAGGCGTCTTTGATCAGATCTTACAGTTCGAAAAGACAGCGTGCCCGTTCAAGCGATCTTTCACGATAGCGCTCCCTGAGAAGCCGAAAACACCCCTCAAGAAGCGGCCCTGGACTCCGGTACGCAGATCCGATATTACGCCCACCGCCACGACCATCGTCGAGGCGACGTCAACGCCCCCAGCTAGGACTACGAGGCGCAAGAGCGAGTCGCCTGCCGCACGGCAACTGAAAGCCAGCATGAAAGCCTCTTTCACAGCAGATGAAGATACCACAACTCGAAGCGAAATCGTCCCAGATACTGCTGTGCAGGGCACGAATGTTCAAGCACCAGAGGCCCAAACGCCAGAGGCCCTAGGAGTACCCCCTGTCAGCTCTGTCGCCGAAGACGACATGTCCACGCAGATAGAAGACATCACCGAGGTTTCGAAGCAAACCAATGACGCAAGCGGTCGAAACACCGCGGATGAGACGGAGAACAGAGAAGTAGAAGAGATACCAGTCACAGATGACAGATCTGTTTTTGAGCAGCCTGAATCGGACCACAACACTCTCGAGATTCTACCTGCATGCAAGCCGGACGCGACAGTCATTTTAGCAACAACAAACGATGTGAACGATGGTACCCGAGTCCGGACAGAAGCAACGGAAGCCGAGCAGAGCCAGGAAATTCCGCTAGAAATAGGTGTTCCCCTCGCCCCAATGCAGTCTCAACCCTTGAGCGACGTTCGCGAGAACTCGACACCACAGAGCAATAGCCCACCGACTCTATTGCCTGTGCAAGAAGCGGAGGAAGTATGCGAAGAGCTGCCGCCGCTGACAGCTATTCGGAGAGAAGAGCCGCCCAGTGTTCCTCCCGAATTTTCAACACCTGAAACGGCTGTCGAGTTGACGCCCCGGCAGACAAGTACGCACGCTCGACCTGACATCCACGACTTCCTTCGTGCATACGAGCAAAAGACGGCGGCAGAAGCCCCGACAAAGGCAGACGTCGAGCCCAGCGTTGTCTTGGAAGATGTTGAGCTCCCAGCAACCGCTGATGACGACATCAAATCTACGGCCAGCGGAGAAAGCGGACTAGAGACAGCCGAGACGGAGCAAACTAGCGCAGAGGTGCTGGAGGGGAGTGGTGTTGTAGGTGCTCGGCGGAAGAAGTTGCGCGGGTTCCGCGCAGGTCGCTCTCTTGCCGTTCCACCACAACTCACGCTCATCACATCGCCGCCTTCCAAGTCTGCCGCTTCGAAGCAATCTCCTGCTCGGCTGCCCGAGGACGCAAAGGGTCAGATCTCACCGGCTGGGTCGTCTGACTCTTTCCATAGCGTGCAATCATGGCAATCTCCCCTCTCCTCTCCCGGATCGCAGCCGACGACACCCTCGACGTTTCCGTATCCGCACGACAACATTTTAATGCCCATGAGGATATCTCAGTATCGCGATATCTCGGACTTGACTGTGACGCCAGACACCAAGAGAACATGGGATGCGGCATCTTTTGGGACCAATGAGAGCTCTCAAGAGAGCGCGGCGACTGCCCCAGACATGGCATCCGAGACGGCTGAGCAGGCTGGTCAGGACTCATCCGCGGATGGCGAAGCAAAGTCGACCGCAGTGGCACGCCGTAGACCCAGCATTCGTCACCGGGCGACGGCAAGCAGCATTTCGGTCAGCCGAGCGCTCTCACCGCTTCCGCCAGCTGCCAACCTGTTCTCCCCGACGGCAACTTCAATGAGGCGACTGCCAACACGCAGCCGACTCGATCTCGTTCGACGGGTACCCATGGCGATAGTCGCCAAGACATGTGAGATTCTGCTGAGCCCGCCTAGCCATCTCATGAACCTGATGCTGCGGGTGGCGGCACGGATCGCGGCCGGCGAATGGCGTGGCATGGTGTTTGGTTATGGAGAGTCCGGGGAAACGATCCCCGTGCAGTGGGACTACTCGGACGGCGAACTCAGCGACTGGGGTGACGACGACGACTTCTACATGAGCCAGACAGAGGGTTCACGGGCCCCGAGCGCAGCTGATCAGCAGGAAGCTCGGGACCGAACGGCTCGCGGCTGGGAGGTCGACTGAGGCTTGCTGGTGGATTCCGACGCTGGCACGATCTTTGTTTTTTTTTTGTACATTACTTGTTTATTATTGGCGAACCCCCCGTGTTCATAGGATGCCGGCGTTGGGCATGTCGGATTGGATTTTTGGGGCGAACACAACGACCGGATCTCGAACTTGATTGAGGGTCTCTTTTTCGGAGGGGCGTCGAAGTTGTATCATGTGAACAACACACCAGGATATCAGGAGGGGGGAGTTTTACTGTACCTTAATACTGGGCAGATGCGAGCACACATCAATGATTGCAAGGCACACACGGCTCTTGATGATAGGCAGGCATCAAAGACTTCAAAATGAAGAATGACACGTCAAACTGTCTCGTGTGGATGTGTATGGCGAAATAGTTACCAATCTGCCGTGCTGTTCCGCGATATGTGTATGTCACGAGACATGATGCGTCGAGTACGATAGCCGGGGCGTGCCGCTGGACGAGTCCCCAGGCACCCTGCGCGGCGCACGATAGCCCGCTCACCATGATCGCGGGACTCACGAGGGTCCAGGTCGTTGCAGTTTCCCAACTAGGCAAACGAGGGTGGCAGCGTCGAGGCCGGGGATTCGCTGCGACGGCCGCTTGGTGGTGGCTTGCTAGCCCTGGTCTGAGGCTGTCGTATTGTACGATGGATGCGATTGGTCAGATGGGGTGGTGATGTTCAAAGTCACGACACGACCAAAGCGACGGATCAAAGGTCTGGGATATAAGTAGGACGATGAAGATGGGGAAATGAGGACGTGAACTGTTTTCTGATGGAGTCATCTGTTCACTGATCTGCTGTATAACTTACACATTATCACATGGTTTCGCACGAGGCCACTGACACATCGAAATACGTTGGCCAACACAACTACAAGCATCTGATCCCAACCATATTGCGACCATGAGTGACGGCCGCTACGGTACGTGTCGTCATGAGATGGAGTCAACCCTATGCCTTGCAGAACTGACCCGGCCAGTCGAGGGAAGCTACTACTTCTTCGCCCCCAACAAGGGAGCCGCCATTTTCTTCACGATTGCCTTTGCAACTTCATGCGTACTGCATCTGTGGCAGTGTTAGTGAGTTACTGCGCCGCCGGCACGAATATCTCCTCGTCTGACCTGCCAGCCACTACAAGTTTTTCAAGGTGACGGGTCTCTTCGTTTTTTGCAACCTTCTCTTTGTCGCCGGCTTCGCTCTGCGCGTCTACGGAGCCTGGCACTATGACAACCTTGCCCCTTTTATCGCGAGCATATGTCTCGTCTACGCCAGCCCGTACGTCAGAATTGTGTTGATTTCTTTCGCCCTTTCTCCTCTCGTGAGCGATACTGACTGGACTGGGCAGGCCCCTCCTCGAACTAGCAAACTACCACATCCTCGGGCGCATCTTGTATTACGTGCCGTACCACTCCCCGCTCCACCCTGGCCGCGTGCTCTCGACGTTTGCGTTCCTTTCGGGGCTCATAGAGATGCTCAACGGCTGGGGCGCGAGCTACACCGCCAATGTTGACCTCCCCGGCGCCTCGCAGGCGACGGGCCACGCACTCATGAAGACGTCGCTCGTGCTGCAGCTCGTCGTGGCCGGCCTCTTCCTCACCCTGGCCGTCGTGTTTCACCGCCGGTGCGTCGCCGCGGGCCTCGGCGGCGCGCGGCAGATCAAGAGTCCGCTGCGGACGCTCTACGTCAGCGTAGGGCTCATCACGGCCCGGACCGTGTTCCGGCTCGTGGAGCACTTTGGGTTCGAGGGCATCCAGTGGGAAGGGCTGGAATCGGCGGACGTACCGGCCGTCATCCGGTACGAGTGGTTCTTCTACGTCTTCGAGGCGTCTCTGATGCTTGGGAACACGCTCATGTGGAACTGGAGGCATCCGAGGAGGTACCTGCCGGCCAAATGCGACGTGTATCTGGCGCGGGACGGCGTCACCGAAGTCGAGGGTCCAGGATGGAAAGACGACAGGGTCTGGCTGCTGACAGTCATCGATCCATTCGATGTGGGGGGGTGCCTCAGGGGTAGGCAGGCCCAGGACAAGTTCTGGGAGAGGGATGGCATCGAGGGGGTCCGGCAGGCCAAGGGGTCTGTGTAGTCCCGGCAAGCGCGCCATCTGAACTGCAGGCACTCGGGAGGACCGGTGGCATGTGGACTCGCTCGAGACAGAAAGAAGGATGCCAAGACGTCGAGAATTGGCTCCTGAAAGGGAAGCCAATTCCCGGCCTAGCCATGCTGCCATGGCTTCGGCGTCACGAGTAAAGAAACTGGGCTCTAGAAGTAGGAGGCGAAGGATCAGATTGCTTCTGGAGTCACCTGTGGAAGGATTTCATCAAGAGGAGCCCCGAAATAGAAGCGCGAATAGCATGTGTATCGGCGGACTAGCGTGCAGACAAAGGTTCATGTCAGTGACGAGACCTGAAGCCAGTCCTGATCAAGTTGTTCAAGATGGAGCCTCTTGAGGAGATGGTCGCCTGGATGATACGGCCGAGGCTTGGGCCGAGGCGAGAAGGAAGCAACACAAGTTTGTCACCCACGACCCACGATGTCTGGCGTTCAGAGGAGGGACCATAGGAAGCTCGCGGATCCAAGGTTTCTGATTTCTTCTTGATGATCATGACGAGCCAGAGAAAAGGCTCAGAACAGCGAGCATGGCGCCACATCTGAATGACACCATCTCCATCTTCATCTCCAGGTGCGGCGCGACATTCTGCTCATGCTGAATTTCTTCTTGGTGTGAGGAAGAAAAAAATCTGTACACAGTCAATGGATGAGCATTTGGACTGACTAAAACGGAAATCAATCGGCTTGGTGGACAGTCGGTCTGAAGATGGTCAAGGGGAACCACGGGAGCTGCTGGTGCTGCTTGACATGGTCACCAGCGAGGAAAAACGAGTGGATGATGGATGGATGGATCCCTGCTGTAGGTCGAGGCAGTAGCAGGCCCCTCCAACGTTAGCGAGGTAGATCACGGCCAAAAATAGGTACGGGCAAGCCACAGTCCCGCCTTCTAACGCTTACCTTAGCTAAGGGGGGAGGTGGCGTTTGTGCGCGGATCCGTCACCTCCTCCGTCTTAGCATCCAGAAAGGTGCAACCAGGTAGGCGCAACCAGGTAGGCGCAACCAGGTAGGCGCAACCAGGTACCTACAGCACCTACAGTTTGGCAACTTACTTGCACCCTCTACGCGTCCTGCCCCCGCATGCCCTCTCCCTGACAGCACTGCAATCGCCCACTAAGCTTGGCATCTTGGGATATTGGACTGCTACCAAACACCCTGTTACGGTGGCGTCCCCCAAGACCATGCCCGGGATGGCACTGCTGCTGAGCTTCTTCCTTGCTACCTTCGGTATTGTCTGAGTTGCCTTGAAAAAAAGCACGATAAGTCTACGTCAGCCAAGCATACTGTAGGTCCAGTGTGTCTTGGACCGAGCTGCCCAGGACCATGAAGATCAATGAAATGATACTTTATGGTTGTCCAATACATGATGAACCAGCGCCAGGTATTGCATACACTCGAGGCGTGTGAGCAGCACCTTCGGGATCGAGAAAACCAACAACAGCAGCGTTCAGCCTCATAACGCTCGAAACCCCTCCTTGTCTGTAGAGTTGGCAGGTACCAAGACCTGTTGCGAAGGGCAGGAGACAAAGAAGACAGGGATTTCCTTCCGTAGCAGTAGCTCCAAACATCCAAAAGATCCCTGTCGTACTTGACCCTCGCTGCTGCCCCTCACCATGGTCACCTCGTGGACAGGCGTCAACGTTACCCCCACCACCACCACCACAACTTGGTGAGCCCTTCAAGACTGCTTCGACCGTGCATCGACTACTTCTCCTCGCCGTCTTCTGCTCAACTGACGACGTGTTCCAGAGATCCGCGCACAGCGACATGCAGCAAAGCCACCCTTTCCACCCAAGACAAACCTCACTGCCAAGCATCGGCCCCATCCGCTTCTCAGTCCGTCGTTTGCTCCGCCTCCAGGGATTGCCATCCTTCTCGATTCACCAACAACACGACACCACCCAAGCGGGCCCTGAGTGCCCTGACCACCCCTACGATCCTTCTCTTCCGTCTTCATTTCCCCTGTGGCCCAAGCCCCTCAAGTTATTGCCCCGTTCCCCGACCCCGAGGCGCAGTGCGAACGCAGCAGACTCCGCCAGTCTTGGGTCTGACGACCAGCTGCCGTTGAAGAGCACCGCCTGCTTGGTCTGGGGGGCTCGAGGTCCGCGTACGGTATCGGCATCGACCTCTGCCCTTGCCCCCGTCCTTCGGCATTGCGAGGCAGGGTCAAATCTTGCCTGTCGACAAAAGTTCCGAGGTGGCAGCTTGCCTCAGCCAGGCCTAGTGAACAACCCCCCGCCCCCTGGGACTCTATTTGCTCCCCGTCAATGCCGACGTGAGTAGTAGTTGACGACCCTTCTTCGATGATACTAGGCCGACGAGCATAGTGTCTCATTTCGGGGCCCACCACAGATGGCAACGACGACAGCGGACGCGGCGCAGGTCCTCCTGTCATCCAGTTTCTGGTCCTCTGATCACTAAAAGCGTCTCCGCCAGTCCGGGACACCCCATTTTGAACCTGGCCAGTCAGTCTTCATCCCTGCTTGTGTTGCTCTCTGGGCCATTTGGTCACGCCCGCATGGCTCGTGCCGTTCTGCTACCAGACTCCGAGACTCACTATACATCAAGGCACATCTGGTCCCATCCATTCATCGTCTAGGCCTGCCCTCCTTCTTGCCACATCACTAATTCATCCACAACCTGCACTACTTGTCCCTCGCCCATCCTTTTTCGGCGCCAATCTTCCTTAGCGCGTCCGCCTAGCCTGCCGTCCACGCCGCCTGTGACCGACTTGACCGTACCAGCTTCCCCGCCGTACCTGACCCCGTACCAACCCAGCATGACCTTATTACCCAGGACAGATCCCTTATCACAGCAGCAACACAAGCATAAACACCAAAGACTCCCTCGAGTCCAGACCAAAGCCGTCGAGGAAGACTGTGCCATGGACGCCCAACAGTCGCCAGACGCGACTCGGCGGCCTCAGATCTACGTTCACTTCGAGTTCGGCGTATCGTATTCACCACGAGGTCCTGGCAACAGGCATAGCCTGACCTACATGTCTCGGAACTGGCGCGATCGCACGAGATTCCCTCGTCAACTTCCGCCAACCAACACTAACTATCTCGAGTTCACCTCGCTCCCTGCACATGAGCAGCAGCAACAGCAGCCACAGCAGCAGCAAACCACGCAACCGCGATTCCAACCACACGCTCCAGCACAAACTCAAGTACAATCTCAACCGCGCACGCTACCACGCCCTCTGCCAGATTCCCATCCGGAACTGCAATTGCAGCCAGGGACACAACTGCTGCAACAAGTAGACACGTCAGCGGAACCAACACAGCGAGCGGCTTCACCTCGCGGTCGGCAACGCTCCATTGCCCACCCAAACCTTCCCGCCTCACAGGCCCTTCTCTATCCTCCTTTCAGCAGGAGACAGTCACGCGCAGAAAGCCACTCATCGGGCTCCTCTCATGAGCGTGGTACTTCGGCGCCGCCGCCTTGGAATCAGAGTCCCTGGGATGCCGAACCAGAACCCATGGGTGCTTCCGCGCTCCCCCGTCGGGAAGCTACACAACACGAGCGCCCCTCGCATGAGCGTCGCGTCACCAGCGCCGATGTATGGAAAGCTCTTCCAGCAATACCTACTTCGTATCGTCTCAGCGAGCACCTGGGAGACGGCGGTGTGCCGTGGTCAACGGGGTGGCCCATCGAATTCGGCGTACCTGATGGGCAGGATGAACAGTCTCTGAGCGAAGGCGAGTTTGTGCCGTTTGCCAACCAGCCAACCGTCATCCAGGTTACTTCAGATTCGCGCACCACGTTGCTGCTTCACGAGGATCCGACGCGCGAGGCCGAGATGGACGATCTATCAAATGCAATGATGACGGTTGACAACGGCTTCGAGACACAATGGTGGAACCAGGGCCCGCGGGCCGTGGTCAGCTACTCGGCGACTGGTGAGCCTGTTCTGCATTCGCCTGTCGAGCCGGTGCCGGAGGCCATACCCATCCCAGAGGACGCAGAGATGACGGCACGGTCAGTCGGATGGGCCATAGCGCAGCAGCCGTACGGGAGTCTCCCGAGCACAGGTGCAGGCTTCAACTTTGTAACCGTGTCCCCTGTGACGGTGACTGATGCTAGTAGCCCTCAGTTCTGGGTACAGCAGTCGGGGCAGCACCCACGGATACAGCGCTCATTGACAACACGATCTGACGAACTTTTCTTTGCTGTATGAATAAAAGCATGGCATACCATGGCACGAGGGAACAGTAGATATGGCGGGCGTTCCACAATAGTCTGGAACGAAGGAAGAGTGTTGTCAAGGAAGGCTTTAGGTCATAGGAGGTTGTGTCTGAACTACGCATTCCACACTTCGATGGCTTCTCGAGCACCCCGCCTGCCTGGTAGTGGCACGTGTACGGCTGCTACGATACCTTGCCCCCAGAGCCACTACGAATGGCCGCTATAATGAAGCGATTTTATTCTTGTTTCAAGCATATGCTGTGGCTGTGTTTTCCCACTCACTAGATATTTCTATCGCGTGCGTTCTCATGACTAGGGCCTTCTTGGCCACAACAACGGCTTCCGAACGATCGACAGACGAAACTGTTGGCGCAACACAGCCACCGACAACGGCAGACTGTAGATCTTTGTCTATGATGGAAAGAACGTGCCTTTTCGGTACGCGTACGTACAGTGGCTCCCACGACGAGAACTTTGAGCATATTTGATTACGCTTGCGTCATACCAAGACAAGAATGCTGCGAGGCTAGGAATTCGGTCACGGGCGCGCGCATACAGGCTCGTATGGAAACGAGCACCAGACAACGAAATAGATGAAGACAATAAGCAGAACCCTAACTTTAATTTTTTCTTCAACATTATTGTTCCACGTCTACCTCCACCTGCGGCTCGCTGCTCAAGGGTCCGCTCAAACCAGCCACGGCGATGACGCCCGCCGCCGCTGCTAGGGGCACCGCCTTCATCATTTGCATGTTGTCGCCGGCCGCATACACCCCTGGACACGTCGTCTCGCCAAAGGCATTGACCGTCTTGATTTCGCCACTTTCGGTGAGGTCGAGGCTGAGCTGCTCGACAAAGGGACCGTTGACCCTGGTACGAGGTCCATGAGCCTGGACACACACGAAGGTTAGCCAAGGCCAAAAGAAAAAGCCGGAGAGGGAAAGGAGGAGTAGGTACTCACCAGGAAGCCCTCCGTCACAGATGTGCCGTCTTCAAAGTAGAGCGTCACCTCCGTCTCGCCGGGCCCATGCTCCATCCGCGCAATGCGCCTCGCGTCGACGACAAAAGGCGTCTTGTCGATGGCCGCCTCGAGGTCACGGACCATGGCATCGTCGCCGTGGGCGTAAATGGTGACGCGGTCCGCGAGCTGCTTGGCCATCCATGCCATGTGCACGCCCAAGGCCGCCTGCGCCACCAAGCCGCCCGTCAGGACGCCGGCGGTCGCGGCGCCGCGCGACTCGTAGCCGTGGCAGTACAGGCAGTGGAAGACGCTGCGGCCCCAGCAGGCGTCGAAGCCGGGGATCGGGGCCATGATGTCCGTGACGCCCGTCGCGAGGACGACCTTGCGTCCGTGCCACGTGCGGCCGTCGCCCGTCACGGCGCGGAAGAGGCCCTGCGGCGTCTTGTCGATGCGCGTCACGGCGTCGTCGACAAAGGTCGTCGTTTCGTAGCGCGCCAGGAGGTCGGCGCGCGCCTTGGAGCGCAGGGTGGCCGGGGCGGCGTGGTCGAAGCCGAGCACGCCGTGCATGTGCTCGGCGCGGGCGTTGCGGTACACCCCCGAGTCGAAGAGGACGGCGGTGCGCAACTGGCGCGCGAGGTAGGTTGCTGTGGAGAGGCCGGCGGGGCCACCGCCGATGATGAGGACGTCGTGAGGGCGCATCTTGTGTTCGTCTCGCTGTTGCTGTTGCTGTTGCTGATGAGAAGGACTTGATGACAGCATGAAACTTCTGTACTTGTGTTTATTGATTGACGAAGAAAGGGCATTTTTGTCAACGGACGTCCTGGGGCTTATATGTTCCCTTCATCTTTCTGGCTGAGCATTTTGTCTCCGGATGCGATTGAAAGTCTCCGGACAACTGACGGAAGATGCTGCGGGAAAATTATGTCGAGGAGCCATAGAGATGCATGAAACAGAAACCACCAAAGAGCTGGCACCGTGATGGCCAGCATGGAATACGGCTGAATCGCGACGGCGGAGGGGCCGGCGACATACCGAAGTGGGGCCGGTTCGTCAAAAGTCTCCGGCAGGATGCCCACCGTTCAATGAGAGCGTCGATGCCGGTGTTTTGATTCGGAGTTACTGACAGATGCAACATTAGATTGATGGGTTATGATTTTTTTGATTACTCTTCTGCTTCATCGCCCTCCCCCCTCGCTATATCGACTAGTATACATGGGCTTCAGGGCCGGCCTGACCCGGATTCAAGTACCGCCAGTCTCGCGCCTCCACACCACGTACCACGCTGTCAAGTGGATCCGGAGGGTGTACATGATAGTATCAAGAGTAGAGGAGGCTGAACGACATACTGCGATCATTATGCAGTCCCATGAGACGAGCGCCAAGAGAGCGAAACCGTCACAAAACAAGCGAAATGTCTCCGGCCACTTTTCGGAGAGTTCGCATAACCGCCGTCACATGCATCTCCAGCCTCACCTCACCATCAGGGACTCTTAGGGATTCGGGTGACATGATCATCATCATTTTCAATGACATGCAGAAGAAGTCGAAATGTGGCTGAGATTGCGCTGGTTCATTCAGTCGGATCTACCCGCTTCTTGCTCTGCCCCAGTTCGCGCATGACCCATTCATAGACAGCCCACTGCACGGCATTGACGACGAAGGCTCTGACGCTGCACACCGTGAGGCCCCTGAAGAACACGCGCAGGCCTTCCTCCCTGTACGCAGCCTTGGCCATCTGCACGGCGCCTTGCCGTGCCTGTGAGGACGCCTCGGCTCCGCGCCCCTCACCCAGCAGGCGCGCCGTCTCGGCCTCGCCGCCAAAGGCCCGCTGCGTCTGCACGCGCGTCTTGATGACGTCCAGTGGAAAGACGCTGGCCCAGGTCACGACGCCCGCGAGACCACCGCAGAGGAGCACCTTGGCTGCCTCCTGATGGGCGCTCGACTCGTCGCCCGGCGCCGCGGCCATCCACCGCGTGCTCAGCTCGTACGACCAAAAGTAAAAGCCGTAGCCGATGCTGTCGCGGAGCGCCGTGACGACGCCGCCAAAGTACATCCCCCTGACACCCTCTGTGCGGTAAATCTGCTTGGCGATGGCCCAGCTCGACCGCGGCGGGGACGACAGCTGGGCGCGGCACTTGACAAGCTCGGTCGGCGTGCTGACGACCCATGTCGCGAGGCCGCCCACGGCGCCGGCAGCCCACGTCGTCCAGAGACTCGACTGCACGCCCGCCAGGCCGTTCAGCGCTGCCTCTGTTCGATTGTACGAGACGAACAGGAGGGCATTCAGGGCGCCGTAGCCCACAATGGGGGCCGCCGTGCCGGTGACGAGAGCGGCCGTGTTCTCGAACTGGCGAAAGTAGGCAGACGGCGTCTGCGCGGCGAGGGCATCGCGGGCCTGCAGGCGGACCTTGACGACGTCGAGGGGATTGCCAATGATGATGCCCACGGCACCGCTGATGTAGCCTGCCCAAAAGTCGGCGGACATGGCGTGTGTGTGGCTGTCGTGCGGGATCCAAAAAAAAAAAAAAAAAAAAAAGAAAAAGGCCTAGACGTGCGTCGGCTTCAAGAGTAGAGGCCCCGTGTCCTGGGATCTCGGTAGTGATTCACCTTGGCCTGCGCGACGGCAATCGAAGTGACAATGCCCAGGTACGTGATCATCCATCCACCTCCGGCTAGGGCCCAAAAGCGCGCATTCCTCAGGTTTGGCGTCGTCGTGCGTTGGCGTCCGAGGTGCCGATAGTGGGCGATCTGGGCGACGACAGCGGCACCGACAAAGGGAGGCCAATTGTCCGCTATGAAAATGGTCCGGCTGGAAGGAGGAGGCAGGGGGGGTTCCTCGTGTGTGAGAGGTTGAAGAGACTCGGTGCTAGGCATGATGCTGGCGAGAGGTGAGAAAGCAGGAGCTCCACTGTCTGGTGCCGAAGACTGAGCCGAGGGAACATAACACTACGCGCAGGCGCAAGGCAGATGATGCCACAGGGAGCTGAGAATCTTGGAGTATTGTGCGAATTGATCCCTCACTTGGGCGTTTGCATCAGGGACCAGGAGGGACGCTGCCATTGGGTCTGAGATGGAAATGTGACCTTGTGGTAGCGAATGCTCAGACCTTGTCGTACCTAATTTGCTGGGGAAGCCATGACCGCCATCATCGGAGGCGCCTTCTTCACATGTCCCCTGCCATGCCTGGCTGCCTGGCTGCCGTGTCGCCTTGATGACATAAGGCAATCCAGCTGTGCTGCCTATTATCACGTGACTGCGTGTCAATGGGTGACGCGCTCCCGTCGCGCTTGCGTCTCCCCAGAACAACATTTCGAGTCGCCCCCGTTCCCAGTCCCTCCCCCCGCCACCCGACGACTCGCCACACGTCAAAGACGGCGTCGACGCTTAAACCAAAGTTGCTGCGCAGCTTGATGGCCAAGAGTCTTCTTGCATCCTTCAACGTCTCGAGTTGATTTGCAAAATGTATGCCTCACCCACGTGTCCTCCTACTCTGCACGCCTAAACTGACTGACTGACCCCCCCCACCAAGGACGACAGTGTCTACACCTGTTGCCAACAAGGAGAATAGCCAGCCGGGAAAACGATGGGCGCCCACGCCCGAATCCCGCGATAAACTCCACAGACCGTTCAAATGCCCCGGATCTGCCGCTCCCAGCCCTGCCGTCAATCGACCTGCCAGGAAGCGCAGAAAGGTCGATTACAAAGGCGCTGATGGCGAATCGGACGCCGACAAGCCGTACACCAACGCGGACCGCCTCGCGCTCGCGAATCGCGATGCCAACCGGTATCCGGTCTTCCAGGCCAAGGAGAAGGGCGTCGTTTTCCGCAAGGCCTTTGCCGTCCCCTTGATCAACAAGAACGTAGGCGGCTACAACCCCAACAGACCCCCGCCGACTCTCGGCCTGCGCACCGGTGCCACCTTCGTCGCGAAAGCGCTGCATGACCCGAGCGGGGAGTTCGCCATCGTGCTGTACGATCCCACCGTCGACGACAAGCCCAAGGTCCCCGAGAAGCCCAAGGACGAGCCGGAGCCTACGACCACCATTGATGCCCCTCTGATGCACAAGAGCTTGGCTGAGATTCTTGGTATCAAGAAGAAGGTCGAGGGCGAGCACCCCAAGGTGCCTGTCGTCATTGACCCCCGTCTCTGCAAGGTCTTGCGTCCCCATCAGATCGAGGGCGTCAAGTTCATGTACAAATGCGTCACGGGCATGATCGACGAGAGAGCCAACGGCTGCATCATGGCCGACGAGATGGGTCTCGGAAAGACGCTCCAGTGCATCACCCTGCTCTGGACCCTACTGAAGCAGTCGCCCGAGGCTGGGAAGAGCGCCATCCAGAAGGCCATTGTCGTCTGTCCTTCCAGTCTGGTCAAGAACTGGGCAAACGAGCTTGTCAAGTGGCTCGGTGCCGATGCCGTCACCCCGTTCGCCATCGACGGCAAAGCCTCCAAGGAGGAACTCACCCGCCAGTTGCGGCAGTGGGCCATTGCATCCGGCAGGGCTGTGACGCGGCCTGTCATCATTGTGTCCTATGAAACCCTCCGTCTCAACGTTGACGAGCTGAAGCACACCAAGATTGGTCTCATGCTGTGTGACGAAGGTCATCGCCTGAAGAACGGCGACAGCCAGACCTTCAGCTCGTTGAACAGCCTCAACGTGAGCCGCAGGATCATTCTCTCGGGCACGCCCATTCAGAATGACCTTTCCGAATACTTTTCTCTCATCAGCTTTGCGAACCCGGATCTGCTCGGCACGCGACTCGAGTTCCGCAAGCGATTCGAGCTGCCCATCCTTCGCGGCCGCGACGCCGATGCAGACGAAGTCGACAGGAAGAAGGGCGACGAGTGTCTCAGCGAATTGCTCGGCATCGTCAACAAATTCATCATCCGGCGCACCAACGATATCCTCTCCAAGTACCTTCCTGTCAAGTACGAGCACGTCGTGTTTTGCAATCTCGCACCCTTCCAGTTGGACTTGTACAACTACTTCCTCACAAGTCCTGATATCCAAGCCCTTCTTCGTGGTAAGGGCAGTCAGCCGCTCAAAGCCATCAACATCCTCAAGAAGCTCTGCAACCATCCCGATCTCTTGAACCTCAACGACGATCTGCCTGGCTCGGAAAACTGCTGGCCAGACGACTATGTTCCGAAGGATGCTCGCGGTCACCGCAATCGAGAGGTCAAGCCTTGGTACTCTGGCAAGATGCAAGTCCTCGATCGCATGCTGGCTCGCATTCGTCAGGATACAAATGACAAGATTGTGCTCATCAGCAACTACACGCAGACGCTGGATATTTTCGAGCGGCTCTGTCGTTCTCGTGCGTATGGCTGCCTCCGTCTTGATGGCACCATGAACGTCAACAAGCGCCAGAAGCTCGTTGACAAGTTTAACGACCCTGCGGGGGAGGAGTTTGTCTTCCTCCTGAGCAGCAAAGCTGGTGGCTGCGGTATCAATCTTATCGGTGCCAATCGCCTTGTTCTCTTCGATCCCGACTGGAATCCTGCTGCTGACCAGCAGGCTCTTGCTCGTGTGTGGCGTGATGGCCAGAAGAAGGACTGCTTCGTCTACCGCTTCATCGCGACAGGCACAATCGAAGAGAAGATTTTCCAGCGTCAGAGTCACAAGCAGAGTTTGTCGAGCTGCGTCGTCGATTCGGCAGAGGACGTCGAGCGTCATTTCTCACTCGACGGTCTCCGAGAGCTGTTCCAGTACCGTCCCGGCACGACGTCTGATACCCACGACACGTTCAAGTGCAAGCGCTGCAAGCCTGATGGTAGGCAGCACATCAAGGCGCCCGCCATGCTGTACGGTGACACGAGCACGTGGAATCACTTTATCAACGAGCACCTCAAGCCTATTCAGGATCTTCTTCTGAGACAGGAGTGCGGGGAGCCAGAGGTATCTGCCGTCTTCCAGTATATTTCACATTAAATGACCTATGGAAGAAGGGATGGCAAAAGGGGTGCTTCGCGTGATGGAGGGTCTTGGGTCGACAATTCGTCGAGTGCCATTTTTTTTTTGCCCTTTACCGGCGTACAGCGTTTAGCCTTGGGCCATGTTTGAAATGCATCATGCGAGGAGTTTGGGGCCAGATGCCTTGCTTTTGGCGCTGTTTGCTTGATATTGCGCCTCGCTAGAGTAGACAACATACTTTATATTTCGTATGCCAATCTGAAATACACAGCATGCTCAGTATCTCGCTTTGTCTTGATAGCCATTCCAACCGAAGTCTGTAATATCCCAGTGGGCAGGAAGATATGCATCAATCCTGTGAAGTCGGCAATGCTAGTTCATAGAGGCTCGATGGGCGATGTTCCCGAACTGCGTACGACGTGAGTCCATTTCGGACATGGGGTACTTACGTCCATGTTTCATCAGTCTAACCCCCCCTTGATTGATACAATATTTATGAGGCTTCATGTCAATCATGTTTCTTTCGACTTCATATTCTCTTCATGACTTCGTCTTTTCTCCAAGAAAAAAGAAAAAGGGTACCAGCTCACAACGCGAGACTGCACCATGGACATGTCTACAGCTCATCCTTGCCTGTGCTCTTAGGCTCCTCCCAGGTGCGGCTCTTGGGGTTCTTCTCGACGACCTCCTCCGGCACGCCCCTCCTCCTGCGGTCCACCGCGGCAATCTCGTCGTCATAGACGGTCCACTCGGGCACCTGCCTCCTGGCGCGGTCGAGCTTGGGCTCCTTCGTCTGCGGGTTGTTGCACAGATCGATCGTCCTCGCCTCGGCCTGGCTCTCATCGCTGCACCACGTCTCGCACCACAGCCACTCCTGCGGCAGGCTGTGGATGGGAATGTTGAACTGCATGTGGTTCGGCAGATCCTGGTCCAGGTTCGCCAGGCTGTTCGGGTCGGCGCTGAGAGCGTGGTACTGCTGGCGCAGGCGGTCGCCGGCGGCGAGGTCGCGGAAGCGGCGGAGGTCCACGACGTAGAGCGCCGAGATGTGATAGGGTTGGCCGCGGAGATAGTTGGCCCAGTAGCCCTGCTTCCAGAAGCGGAAGCCTTCCATCTCGGTGCGCGAGTCGCACATGGGCGTGAAGCCGTAGGGCTTGCCCTCGAGCGGGTGGTTGACGAGGTCCATCATGTCAGTGCGCACAATCTGGTCGGCATCAACAAAGATAACCTTGTCGAGCGACAGCGGGAACAAGACGTCGAGGAAGAGAATCTTGTAGCCCCAGATCTCGCGCTGCTTCTCTTTCTGCTGGCGTAGCCAGTGTGGCCACTTGAACGTGACCATTTCGTACTTGAAGCCGTACTCTTCTGCCAAGTGAGGGATGAAATCCTTGAACGAGGGCGATAGGAACTGCTCGATGAACCAGAACTTCACCGTGTGCTTTGTGTTCTTCATGACACTAACCATCATGATGTTCAACATGCGCTCGTATAAATGACCGCTGGCCACGGAGAATATGTTGATGTCGGCATGTTCCTGCGCCGAGAGGGATTTGGTGGAACCGCCGAGTAGGCTTTCGGCGAATTTGAGACCTTGGGAGATAATACCCCCATCCTCCACTGCCTCGTCTTCTTGCAGCACATCGGCCTTCTCCTGGCCAGGCTTGCGCTTCAAGCGGGGGTAGAGTGTGGTGCCCTGGAAGTCCATCAGCGCAACCTCGGTGCCCTCATCGCCAGGCACCGGCGCCCAGCCTTGCGCGCCTATGCTTTCAACGGTGTAAATCTCAGTTGTTTTGCCATCCTTTAAGTTGATATTGTAGAAGCCGGGATTGGCCTTGAATTGGAAGTATCCCAGGTTCGCCATGATGATGGTGTCGGCTAAGAGCGGCTCCTTTTCCGTGCCGAGGACTACTTGAGCACCTCGAGGAGGCTGGCCAGCTTTGCCTTCGCGAGAGTGACCCTCGATAAGAATGTTCTCGAGTTGATAGATGACGTTCACATCGCCCTTGGTAGAGCTCAGCTTGATGTTGTCCGGGTCGTGAACACAGACCTTAGGAGCCACGAGCCACGAAGGAGGGATGTCCATGCCGGTCGTAAGCAGAGCCTCACTCGGAAGACCCTTGAACGTGGCACCTAGGGCGCGAACCTTACCCGACTCGTCGAAGCTCGGCGCGGAGTCGAGGACGTATCGGAAGAATCGCTTCACTGGCAGCTCGCTGATCTCCTCTTTAGGGTTAAGGAACAGCTTGACATAGACGCCATCAAGCTCAGAGAGAACCTTGAGGATCGGAGCCCACCGCTGACCCTGCTCGCTGACGGGGTTCAGAAGACCGATCAAATGAATGCTTGCGGTTTCCGCGTTTCCGACCTCAATTGCAGTGTATTTCGAATCCCAAGCCTCAAATGCATTTACACGCACAGTAGAGGCCGACTCGAAAATGCCCTCAGGCACATCCGAGATGGTTGAAAGTGCCGTGATAGATGTCAGCTTGGCAGCCGCAAGGGGTCCAGATAGACGATCCCCCAGGCTGAGATCCTCGAGTGCGGCATACACAGGGAGGATTCGTGCTGTTTGCTCGAATTCAAGAAATAGCTGGAAGTCATCCTCATCGAAAGGAAGGTCCTCGGTTATCGGACCGATGACTCGACCGTTGAGAATGAGTGCGTTAGCCCCAGGTGCGATGGTGGCGGCTGACAAGAATGGTGCGAGGGCGATCATATAGTCCCCATCAGACCCAGTCTCAGCTGCATCGAGTATGGCCTTCAGCTGCTCTGGGGTCTCTACTTCAGTCAAAGCGCTCTCCCCCTTTCTCAGAGCGGCATTGATGAGTGGCCCGGTCGTAGACGAGGCTGAATTGTGCACAATGTCAAGACGAATGCCGGGATTGGCACGCTGAAATCGCAGCGCCGCGAACAGCAAGTCCCTTCCGGCCTGCGTTGCGAGGTCGCTGATGATTGTCAGGGCTGCCCATGTTTCCTTGGTGGCCTCAGCATAGCCCTGGATGACAGGTACCGCAGAAAAGAGATTGTCGTGTTCCGCATATATCTTATTGACATCAAGGATTTGGATGGACTTCTCATCCTCAGGATAGATGTAGCTGTTACGACGACTGAGAGCGCCCTTGAGAAAGCGGCCGGGAACCCACTCGTCTTCTTCAATCAGGCCCATGTAGATACCTTGCTGAATTGTTTGAAGGTCCCCGCCGATTTTCATGCTCATCGTCCTGAGCCACCCTTTGTCTCGAGGAAGCAGCAAGCCGTCCAAGAAAAATGGTGGAATTGTTGTCCCAGCGTTGAGGCGCTTGACCCAGTGTTGAGCAAGCTTGATGCGTTCCGCTTGCTCCTCGGACTGCATAACGTCATCGAAGGAAGCAGTAGATGCCTCGGGAAGAGCGACGGACTCGGCCACAACTCGATCAAAGACGATTTGGTCAGGATTGGAGATTTTCGCGTCTTCGACGGACTGTTGCAGGTAGGCTATCATGGCCTCGGGACCGTAGTTTTGCATCAAGTGATACACGACCTTGGCCTGAGCGGCCTTGTCATCACTGGGTGTCAAAGGAACCAAGCCGAAGCGGACCGGGAGCAGACGTTCCACGAAAGTGAAAAGATTGCTGATGACAGTCACATCCCCAGGGTTGGTCAAGTCGACCGGAACAACGAGGGTAAATATGTTGCGGCGAATCGAAGGCAGTTGGCCAGGGTATGTGCGTTGAAGCAGCTATGAACGTCAGCCGGAGTCCTGGTTCCTCAATGAAAGGTCTTTGCTTACCGAAGTTAATTCAGAGGGCAGGTCTTCGTAGCGGGCATCCTTCTCGAGGTCGTTGAGCCAAATGATGACCTTGCCCTCTTCGATTTCGTCACGCCAATCAAATCTCGGCGGCTCATCGTCGTTCTTCGCCGAGGCAACTTTGGGATGTCCCAACAGCAAAGCAGCTTGCTGGCCGGTCAGTCCAAGATTTCGAATGTTGCCAATCAACTTTCTTTCTCGACGAAGCATATCGATCAAAGTGAATGCTTCAATTTGGCGCTCAGTAAGCTGCACGCCATTCATCCACAGAGCATTCAGGCCGCTGGCTGCCATTTCAGCGCGGTTCTTGTCATGCTCAGCGAGGAAGTCCTCAGACACTTCGTGGGTAGCAAGCGACGAAGAGAATTTGGGAAAGTCTTGTGTCAGTTTGAGCAAAGCATCCCAGGGATCTTGGCTTTGCGTGATGAAAGAGGCAGCCTTGAGACCCAGCGGCGCCAAGTCAGATGTTGAAAGAGGTTTGAGGTCTTCGACTTCCTCCTCCTCATCAAGGACGACCTCTGTGGCGATGGACTTCTGCGGGCCATCCGTTTGAGCCTCACGATCATCGATAACAATGTAATCAGTCCTCTTCAAGGCAAGCTCAACGCCATAACCATTGACGGGTAGTGGCTCTTGCGGGGCGCCCACAGCTCTGCGATAGCGAAGCCGGTATGAGATCTCGCCGTTCCGTGCTTTTTGCGCTAGTGCCTGATGAAAAGCACCAAATGCACTTGACGCAGGATCTGCGTAAAGAACAGTGTCGGTGCCTGTTCCTATCACGCGATCGAAAGGAAGCAATTTGACGATACTGGAAACCCTCATTTCAGGTTTCTCCAGTGTAGGAGAGCAGTATTGGGACCCCGCGAACTGGAGCCAGATTTCACAGTCCTGTTGCTTTCCCCCGGTTACATGTGGCGCGATAGCGGTGTCGTAATACTGATAATGAGCTTCGATTCGTGGTGCCGATAACCTCATGGATAGCGCGAGCTTGAAGGTTGATAAGGCACCAGGGCTGCTGACATGGCCTTCATCCTGTAGAAGCTGAAGAAAGTCGTCGTACAGCGCCTTGTGGGTAGATGAATCCTTGAAGTGCCCGCTAGCAATGCGGTCGAGTAGTGGGAAGTAGGACGTAGCATTCTCGCCAGCAGCAGTCTCCCTGAACAGATAATTGTGTTAGCTCGAGCTGAGAACACGGCCGGCACGGGTTGTCCCTTACAAAAGTTCCAGGAGGTAGGGACCAGCCGGAAAGGCCGCCTGCATGTGCACATTGACCGAAGGCCCGGCCGAGACGTTGACGGCTGCCCAAAGGATGGCAACCAGCCCCAATGGCGACCGACAGAGACGTGTCATGGTTCCGCTCCCCGAGCTATGTTGAGTAGGTAACTAGGTAGGTAAAGTACGGGCCTCGTGGGTCACGCCCAGTAACGACAGCTTGGTGGTTCCAAGCTTCAAAGGGAGGAGGATTTGAATTGATGACGTCCTGTCAGGCTTGTAGGCCCAGTCATACCACACGGTAAGGAGCACAGGAAGAGTAATCTGGTTCGCAAGCCCTCCAGCAGCAAGCGCGAATGAGGGGCATCAAATCCGTAGCACAGACGAGTCGAAGTTGACGTCGGCTTCACATTTGAACACCTTTACTGGAAGAGCTGTTCCGATCAGGTATAGCGCGACCCCTTGCTCAGGGGTCTATCCGGCAGAAAGGTGGCATCTGTGGAGGGGTGACAGGGGCGGTGAGCGAGCTATAGTGCCCGGAATCGGATTAACCCTTGAGCGTCCCCCCTTGTCAGGCTTGGGCCCACAATGCCCACACCTTAGCAGATGGCCACGAAGCGAATTGCTGCTAAGGGGGTTGAGGCAGCCTCAGGAAAGTGGCCTTTCGACATACCTGAGCCCGCGATCACCGACCCGGACACCGTCATCCTTCGTCCTCCTCCTACCACCTCCTTCTCGACCATCGGACCTGCCGCAGCTGCCGTAACACTCCCCGGCACGATCGAAAGCCGTCGCCGAGCCTTGCCTGAAGTGCCACTTGTTGCTGCGCTGGATGCTCGAAGCTGCGGCTTCACCTCCCCGCCAAAATGTCGGCCTCGGGCAATAACATGTTGACCAAGGTACATCGCATCCATCATTGCAGCATCCTATTTGGGGTCGCTTTACTCACTGTATCGTAGTTCGAGTCAAAGTCTTCGCGCGCAAAGGGCATTGCCTTCCACCCCAAGAGGTACGTTCACAACCTCCCTATCTAGGGCGCGACGCTCTTCGCTTGACCTTCGATTCATCCCTGCTGACATAGCTCCATAGGCCATGGATTCTCGTCGCCCTCCACTCGTCTACAATCCAGCTCTGGGACTACCGCATGGGAACTCTCATCGACCGATTCGAGGAACACGATGGCCCCGTTCGCGGAATTGACTTCCACAAGACCCAGCCCCTCTTCGTCTCGGGCGGTGACGACTACAAGATCAAGGTTTGGTCGTATCAGACCCGTCGTTGTCTCTTCACCCTCAGCGGCCATCTCGATTATGTTCGCACCGTCTTCTTTCACCACGAGCTCCCGTGGATCATCTCCTCTTCCGACGACCAGACGATTAGAATATGGAACTGGCAGAATCGCTCCCTGAGTACACCTTCCGCACACGCTATCCTCGACCGCGTATGCTAACGTCCCATAACAGTTTGCACCATGACGGGCCACAACCACTACACCATGTGCGCTCAATTCCACCCCAAGGAGGACCTCGTCGTTTCTGCCTCTCTCGACCAGTCTGTCCGTGTCTGGGACATTTCCGGCCTGCGTAAGAAGCACTCCGCCCCGACCTCCATGACATTCGAAGACCAAGTCGCCCGAGCGAATCAGAACCAGGCCGACATGTTTGGCAACACCGATGCTGTTGTCAAGTTTGTACTCGAGGGTCACGACCGTGGTGTCAACTGGGTCGCCTTCCACCCTACAATGCCCCTCATTGTGTCCGCGGGCGACGATCGTCTTGTCAAGCTCTGGCGCATGAGCGAAACGAAAGCCTGGGAAGTCGATACTTGCCGTGGCCATTTCCAGAACGCCTCGGGTTGTCTTTTCCACCCTCACCAGGATCTGATTCTCTCCGTGGGAGAGGATAAGACCGTTCGGGTATGGGACCTCAACAAGAGGACAGCAGTGCAGACCTTCAAGCGCGAGAACGACAGATTCTGGGTTATTGCTGCCCATCCCGAGATCAACCTCTTTGCGGCGGGTCACGATAACGGCGTGATGGTCTTCAAGCTCGAACGAGAGCGCCCGGCCTCAGCGGTGTACCAGAACAACCTCTTCTACATCAACAAGGAGAAGCACGTCAAGTCTTTCGATTTCCAGAAGAGCATCGAAAGCCCGACTCTATTGTCTCTCAAGAAGCTGGGCAGCCCTTGGTCGCCTCCACGAACGATCTCATATAACCCTGCCGAGCGCTCTGTCCTAGTTACGTCAACAACTGACAGCGGCTCCTACGAGCTTATCAGCCTCCCCAAGGATAGCTCTGGTGCTATTGAACCGACCGAGTCTAAGCGCGGCTCTGGAAACTCCGCCATTTTTGTCGCGAGAAACCGCTTTGCGGTTCTAAGTGTGGCCTCCCAGACCATCGACATCAAGGACCTCGCGAACAATGTCACCCGGTCTTTCAAGCCCCCTGTTGGTACGACTGACATTTATTTTGGCGGCACCGGCAACCTCCTGATCATCAACCCCACACACGTTCATCTTTATGATATTCAGCAGAAAAAGAGTGTTGCCGAGCTCGCCGTCACCGGTGTCAAGTACGTTGTGTGGTCTAATGACGGTCTCTATGCTGCGCTTCTCAGCAAGCACAACGTGACCATTGTCACCAAGTCGCTCGAGCAGGTCAGCACCCTTCACGAGACCATCAGGATCAAGAGTGCCACCTGGGATGATACTGGCGTTCTTCTCTACTCGACTCTGAACCACATCAAGTACACTTTGATGAATGGCGACAATGGCATTGTGCGTACACTTGACCAGACTGTCTACCTCGTCCGCGTCAAGGGTCGCAACGTGTACTGCTTGGATCGTGCTGCCAAACCTAAGGTTCTGCAAATCGATCCTACTGAGTACCGCTTCAAGCTTGCTCTTGTGAAGAGGAACTACGAGGAGATGCTTCACATTATCAAGAACTCCAGTCTTGTGGGGCAGTCTATCATCTCGTACCTGCAAAAGAAGGGGTATCCAGATATTGCCCTGCAGTTTGTCGAGGACCCTGCCACCCGATTCGAACTCGCGATCGAGTGTGGTAACCTTGATGTTGCTGTCGAGGTAGCCAAGGAACTGGATCGACCCAAGCTCTGGACACGTTTGAGCACCGAGGCTCTTTCCCATGGAAACCACCAGATTGTCGAGATGTGCTACCAGAAGCTCAAGCAGTTCGACAAGCTGTCCTTCTTGTATCTTTCTACCGGCGACCACTCCAAGTTGGCTCGTATGGCCAAGATTGCAGAGCACCGTGGCGACTTCACTTCCCGTTTCCAGAACGCCCTATACCTCGGCGAGGTTGAGGACAGAATTCAGATGTTCAAGGAAATTGATCTCTGTAAGTTCACCAATCCTCCAACAATAGAACCTTCACTAACCCTACGTTGACCCTCTGGCGTTCATGACTGCGAAATCCCACGGCCTAGAGGAGGAGTGCCAGAGCATCCTCGAGGCGACTGGTCTTACTGAAGACCAGCTCACCATGCCTTCAATCGGAGAGCCTTTGTCGCCCCCAAAGCCGGTCGTGCCAACCTACAAGGCCAACTGGCCCACCAAGCCAACCTCACAGTCGATCTTCGAAACTGCGCTCAACGACCCGGCTGGCGGTGCTCTGGAGGAGGCCACAGCCGGAGTTGACGAATTTGGTCTTGATGAAGCTGGTGACAGCACTGCCAAACGCAACGGCAACCTAATTGATGTCGATGACGATGAGGACGCTGCCGGCTGGGACATGGGCGACGATGTCGTTCCCGAAGTCGAGGGCGACTTTGTCAACGTTGAAAGCGCTGACGCCGGCGGTGCTGCCAGCAGCGAGGCCGACCTCTGGGCTCGCAACTCGCCATTAGCTGTGGACCACGTCGCCGGTGGTTCTTACGAGACTGCGATGCAACTACTGAACCGACAGGTCGGTGCCGTCAACTTTGCGCCCTTGAAGCCTCGGTTCCTCGAAGTATACCAGGCCTCCAAAACATACCTGCCCGCGTCGGCAGGTTTGCCTCCTCTCGTCAACTATGTGCGTCGCACCGTCGAGGAGACGGACCCAAGGAAGGTTCTTCCCATTGTGCCACGCGATCTAGAATTCCTTGCCACAAACGATTTGCAAAAGGGCTATGATTCGATGAAAACGAACAAGCTGGAGCAGGGCCTCAAGATTTTCAAGGGTATCCTGCACACCATCCTCGTCAACGCTGTCTCGAGTGAAAGCGAGGTGGCTGAGGCTAAGAAGCTCATTACCTCGGCCAGCGAGTACGCCGTCGCTATGGCGGTCGAGCTCGGGCGCCGAGAGCTCGGGGCTCCCGATGTCGTGTCGCAAAAACCCGAGCTTCTCAAGCGCAGCCTTGAGCTTTCGGCGTACTTCACTATCCCCAAGATTGAGGTCCCTCACAGGCAACTCGCACTGCTGAGTGCCATGCAGCTGGCGGTTAAGAACAAGAACTACAGTTCTGCACTTAGCTTCGCGAACAGGATCATCGCCAACGGTGGCGCCACCAAGATCATTGAAAACGTAAGTAGTGTTGTTTTGCCAGCTGGTCGTGAGATTATTCAACTGACAGAATGACAGGCCAAGAGGATCAAGGCTCAGTGCGAGCGTAACCCCCACGACTCGATCGAACTTGAGTTTGACCAGTTCGCCGAGTTCGAGGTGTGCGCTGCCAGCCACACGCCAATCTACAGCGGCACGGCGTACGAGGAGTGTGCGTTTGACGGCTCCAAGTACCACAGCAAGTACAAGGGAAGCGTGTGCAGGGTATGCGAGGTCTGTGAGATTGGCAAGCATGGTAGCGGGTTGAAGCTTTTCGCATAAAAGAGTCACGGCGGCCGGGGATGAATTGATGGACGAAGCAACGACTCGGAGTGGACGGCCCCCTGGGAAAAGTTACTTAGAGACGACTGCTGTGTCGAGTGATTTCGGGGCGTCTTGTCATTAGCTAGCAGCAACGACGTCGAATTGTTAATCTGGTCGTGCGTAACGTGAGGGATGACTGGGGTAGCCATGCGACTCGAGCGGGCACCAGGCATGCATCGACGGATCAAGGCTCGACCACGCGTCTCTTGCGACCGATGTCCGGACAAAGTATGCTCGGTGCTCACGCACAGCAGCAGGAAGCAAGCATCATGAAGGTAGTTTAAAAAACCTGGCGACGCCCCCGGGAACCTGTATTCCTGCCTGCCTCTGTCGGTCTTCTTAATAGTACACACAACCACGTCTACCGTCTAACCGTCGGGCCGCCACGCCGTGCTTCCCTTTTACACAATCGTCTCCAGCTCTCGTGCGTAGCCCAACGTGTTCTCGATGACCATCTTGCTGAGCTCCTTCTGCTGGCCGCCCTCCTCGGCCGACGCCTCGGCCGTGTCGGGGAAGTAGATGTTGCCGTCGCGGATGAGCCAGCCGCGGTGCTTGGCGAACTCGATGACGGCACCCTCCGAGTCGAGGAAGAGGAGGGACTTTGTGGAGCTGATGGGCAGGCTGGGGTAGGCGCGCTCGCTGCTGGACGCAATCTCGGAGCGGATCTGGGAGGTGAGAATCTGCAGCGTGTCAGTCTTCCTTGTCCGTGGTCGCTCCATCGCAACGCAAGAGCAAAAGAACAGGGGAGGCGGAAGGGACAAGTTTGCAAGGGGAGGAGACGTGGGCTCACCTCGGAAAAGACAGAGTACTCCTCGCAGGGCACCTCGCGGCTCTTCATGGCCTTCCAGACACGGTCGTAGCTGCCCTCCATGAGCCAGCGCTCGAGGCGGATGGGATATCCGAGGTAGCGGTCGCCCTCGACGGCCTCGGCGTCACCGCCGCCGTCGCGGGTGGCGAGGCTCTCGAGCTCCGAGTGGAACTCAGCGTAGCGGCCCTGCGTCAGGAGCAGGAGCATGTAGAGGCCGGTGATTTTGTTGCGCTCGGCGGGGTTGGGCCGCAGCGCGTCCGGTCCGAGGTCGTAGAAGGGCTGGAGCTGGTGAACGTAGCGGGTGAAGGCGTCGGGGTTGCGGGCGCGGATGGACGCCAGGGCGCCCTTCTCGTAGAGGTCGCGGGCCAGGGCGAGATGGGCGGCGGGGGTCGTGGGGGACGGTGTCAGGGCGTTGAGCTTGAGGAGCGCCAGCTTGGCTTTGGACAGTTGAGCGGAGGCATCGGCGTAGGAGAGGGAGGACCCTTGGGTCTGGAGCTGGGAGAGGATCTGTTGGAGGGCGCGTTCGGCCATGATGAGCCGTGTTCGGATGGTATTGATGGGCTGTGCGGTTGCGATGGAGTTTATTTAAGGCTTCTTGTGGGCTGGGAGGTCTCGTTGTGGGCCGTGATGGTCGTGAATGAGCTTGATGAGGTGTTGTCGGGATACTTGTCTTGCCCGTCACTGACCGTACCTAGGCTGCTGAGAGGCTGACGAAGGTGCGTGCTGGTCATTGGGTGAGACACCCCCGGGGGTGGATGGAACTGATTATCAAGTCAAGATTGTGTCACGTGGCTTCCGGTGTGATGGTAAGCCTCATGCGGGTTACATAATACCACGAGCATATGCGCTGCACTGCAATCCTCCCCATCTCTCTCCCCCCCAGATGCCACTACCCTTGCACGAGAGCATATCCGCTAGTCCTCTCTGTGGCCGTGAAGGCGTTCAATGGTTTCGCGTGATCCTGCAGGTGACGTGAAGCCAGGCAGATTCCGAACGGCAGATCCTTCAGGCAAGGCAGCCTTGCCGAGGACCTAGACAAACTTGGCGGACAGGTACCGTACACCACGACAGGACTCGTTTACAGGCGACTGGAACGGCTCATCTTGTCTGTGTTTTAGTGCGGGCAACTGTGCATTGTGTCCGCCCCGACAGAAGAATTCCAGGGGCAGGTGGCAGGTGGCAGGTGCTCATACGGATGCGCCTTGACCTGGACGATCTATGACTTTGATGTTGGTGAATGTGGATGCTGGGAAAGCCCCTGAACCTTCTTCGTTGCCAACAATAGCACTCTTACCAGGACTCCAGTACAGGCCAGAGGCTGCAAGGTAGGGAGCCACGGCGGGGAGGCGTGGCGGAGCTCGGCGAAAATACGCCCAAAGCAATCCGACACGCAGCGTTTATAGGCTGGGCTGTCGAAGTAGCGAGGGTCAGGCGACGCAGCACACCATTGGCCAGCAGGGATGTTGGAACCCCGGATTCGGTTTTGTCGTTTGAGGGCATCATGACCATAACCGATCACGACATGGATGTAAGTTCGTGGGAAGAGGTCAAGGGTGTCGGTCCAAGCGCAAGTCAAATGAAAAAGGAAGACTCGAATGGCATTTTCCGGAGTTTTGGGTCATGGCTTCATTCCTAGGTGCCTAGGTAGGTACCAGGAGCAGTATTGAATGAAGGGAGAGCAAACGGGAGGTACCTTAGCATGAGGTGCTTGACTGAGCGCCGGAGATGACGGGAGCTAAAAAGACGGCCGGACCCCTTTCGATCCGGAGGGATCTGCTACTGCTCCTGTTACTGCTACTGCTACTACTGCTATTGCTACTGCTACCGCTGCTGCTGCTGCTATTGCCAGTGCTGCTGACAGTCGCTCGACCTGGTGACCTGCGGCGCACCTGCTCAAGATCACGCAGATTGGTCTGTCCACCAGAGTGCCTACTGCCGTCGTCTTGTCTTGCGGCGCTTGACGAAGACGGCCTGTTCTCCTGCCCACTTCTCCGAGGCTGTCGCACACGAGACTCCCTGCCTCCCACTCCGACGACCGCCGACTTTCCACCTCCATACTACCTCCATCATCTTCGACTGCCCGCCCCATCACCATCACCATCACCATCGCCATCGCCATCTCAAGCCCTTCGTTGGCAACCAAGGCACGCATACGTTCCTTGGTGTGCTCGGCCTCTGCTGCCGTGCACTCTGAGCCATCGGCCCGCTGGCAAGACGGACACGGCAAGCTGAACTATCACGGCCAACATGGCCTACAATAGACCGCTGTATGTTCGCCATGGCTACAGCGATGTGCCTGTAACAACACCAGCCGTCTCGGCCCGGGGTCACGCCTACGCCCACCGCTCCCCATCATCGAACAGTAAGTTGGCTATATTTCCTCAGTATTGCGCACGTGAACCTGTTGGACAGCTCTGTCGCCTGCTTCCATCTTAAGAGTTGCTCGTGCCTTACAACCGACGGAGTAGCCAGGCAATCTTACCTTGGTGATGGCGCAAGTGTGTCGTCCGGGCTGGCAGGGTTGATAGAAGAGGCAACAAAGCGAGTAGCGCTTGAACGCTGGCCACCCTTGCACGCCCAAACCCACCCAACCCCCCACCTACGGGACCTAGGCAACTCGCTACGTACGGCGCAGAGGCATGCATCCTTGCCTGCGAGACCCGGCATGCAACGCAATCGCAGAACACAACTTCAGCTACCGGCCGGCCCGCGGAGACCAACACGACGGCACCTATCGGCCGGATGCTACTTTCACCCACCAACCGAGTCCCGAAGAAGGCAGTTCCGATGTAGCAACTTCGATGAAAAGGGGCTTGCTTTCGTCGGGCAGGGCGCAGCAGCTTCCACATCCACACCTACGCTGGGTCAGCCGCCAACTATGGGTCGGTCGGTCACTCACTCACTCACACAGCCTGTGGGACTGCGACCCTGCCTTCTCCCAGTACGCGCTTTCGCATGTTTCAACGAGCCGCCCAGGAACAGTGGGCTTCCCCTTGTGGCAAGCAGCAGCTCCGTTGCGAAACGGGCTTTGAGCGTCTTCATTTCGTGCCCTGCCCGACCTGACCTCTCCTCTGGTGCCTGAGCAGGGTAGCACGGGCTTTGCGTGCCATTTTGACAGGCATGGAGGGGGTCCCATGAATGGCAAATACGCCAGCCAGGAGGCTCCTCTCCTCTCCTATGGGCCTCTCCTATGGGCCTCTCCTATGGGCCTCCTCCGCCCCTCCCCGCCTTCAACTACAAGATGGGCCTCGCTCGCTCCGATGCATTGTGTTGATGAAGCCCCCGCATCCGATCGCATTCCTCGTTCCCGCTCTCGTTCCCCTCCGCCCCACCCCCCCCCCCCCCCTACCC